AATCATGTTCCACCATGCATACAACGTGATAATGGGTTGACGTCAAGCTGAACAAGCCATCTGTTGACAGAAAGGGAAATATGACATTGTTTGTCATCCGACGCCAGGCGTCCAAAGAAATATGCCAATGTAGTGTCATTTAGCGGAAGGAATCCAGACTAATTTTGGACGTTGTGGTCGCTAAATGTTATGAGCATTGGGTTTCATGAGCTTGGGCATTGTGAGCTTGGATGCTCTGAATTATGCCAATGGGCGTGGAATAGGACAGATTTAGGACGTTACGAACGCTTGATGTCGAGATTTTGGATGATATGAACACTTGAGCTGCAATCCTGGACAGTTCGTTGGTTCGCTCTCAATAAACCCGGCGGAGCAAGAGCAGTTATGCAAAAACATGGTTGCATTCCTTGTTGCACAACACTGAACAGAGCGGTGTGACTGCGATGGTCACATATCAGCGCCAAACGCCCTCAACTGCAGCAAGGAATCAAGCTCGGGTTTTCCAAGCGGTAGTGCGGTTTTTCCGAACGTACTTCTTGTTGCCTCGACTATAATGCATTCTTGGTGCAAATAACTTGTTTGTAGTGCCTGTAAATTCATGGTGGTTTCAGTGACTTGTAACGATTTTTATAGTGGTTATAAGCGATGTTGATATGTTAGCGATTGGCATGTAGGTGCTGTCATCGCATACGACGGCGCAACACAAACTTGTAGCCTCGCGCGCAAACGTGTTCAGAATACAACGCAGTGTGAGGAAAGAAGGAAAGGTCTTCAGCTCCTGGTTTTTGGTCATGAGTTGAAATTTATAAGGCTAAGTAAGCTTCCTTCAATATACCAGGAGGCACTGGTTAGGCTGCGTTGCAGTGCTAAATAACGATTATACTGACAGTGCACACTCAATGTAATTGTTGTTTGGCATCACAACGGCGTTTAATCAAAACGTCCTAGCATATTAAAGTTCGTTAATTCAACCTAAAAACTTGCAGCTCATGCCGCCATATTTGGATCACCCCGTCAACTGAATATGTTGAAGATACAGTTGCCGTGACACAAATACTGCACACTGCAGACAAGATAAATCCTCGAAAATATCCATATGCAGCTGGGCACGATTATTGAAATAATTACCGGTTGGCATAATAAAATGCGCGCAAATTTGGGCTTCTCCCCGCTTCAATGAAATCGATGCGTGCTCGCACCACGGGTTTGGCACTCAATTTGATTCCGACTCCAATTGCAAATGGAGCAGAACATACAGGCTTGAGACAGATTAGACACCGACTGAGCTCAGCAAGATTCCGCAACAAGATTATCTGCTTCCATTGTTCTTTGACCACTTTTTAGTCGATGCATCAGTGATGCAGCCCGTACAATTCTATTCGTTTTGCTCCGTTTCGCTTCGCTGGATTCCGGTTCGGGCTATGAAAACCAGCTAGTAAATTTTGAAAGGAATCCAATCCACGCTGCAACAGTACACACATCTGGCAAATTCTTGAGTAGATTTGACTTCACCCGAAATGAAGCGCAGCTCCGAAATGTAGAGGAAAACCTCTAAGCAGGTCCGGTTGGCGGTAAGCCCGATACGCTCTTGGAAAAGAATAATAAAGTGAGGAACGTTATGCATGGAGTTTGCATGTCCCACACACCCGGAGGCCTCTGTTTGGGGCTTCTCTACTTGCCCCATGACGCCATGCCGTCCTTAAGGGGAACGCTCCACTTTTTAAGATACTGAAGCAAGCATCAGCTATGATGAAATAAGCTCCCTTATAACTATTGGCATACACTCAAGTGAACCAGATTGCTGTAAAAAACACAATTTCTCAGTTAAGTAAATATGCTCCTCAATACGCTATTGTGTAATGACGTCATTGTGCCTTGCGCAACGTTGAATGAGAGGTAATTGGCGGCTGTTATATATGAGTGTTGTGCTAGCGCACGCCATGTATGAACAACTCGACAATTATATTTGTATTAGCCTTGATCGCCACATGGCTCATGGAAGGCAGGATTTGAATAATTGTATTATTATGACGTCATGGGTACCTTGATAACCTTGAAATGGCCTTCCCGAAATAACCTGCACATCTTCGCTGGCGTGCAACTCAGAAACCAGAGGGGCTTGGATTTTAAGAAAGGCAGAACTGCAGGCTGAACCGAATGACCTTCAATATGTCTATTTTAGTTTAAAACCCCGTACAAATGTGGAACGACCGCTTCAATATGCGGCCACGCAATAACTAAGCCACACGAAACGTACAAAATGTTTGTATATGTAATGTAATTCGTAAATGGTGCCCATTGATGCCGACATTCGTTGATGTAGATGCGCATAATCTCAAGCTGCACATGCTGGCGAGCTTATGAAACAGGTGAGGTTGTGGAACTAACAATGCTACAACATATTATAAGCAGCACATTTATCGTTACCCACGCGCTTCCAAGAAGGGCACTTCTTGAAATATACGATGAAATATGTTATGATACACTATTTCGAAGTAGGCCTATTATCCAACCAACCAGAAAGCAAGAACTGAGCGTTTTTCAGCGCAACTAAACCAATATGATCGCATCTGCCTGCATATTTCATTTCGTAAAATTCCGTCCAGCGCCAAGCTAAGCCGTTTCGAGCTGAGCTGTCCGCCATCGCCCGTTCCGCACACCCCCGCAGCTTCATCAGCTGACCACTCTCGTCAGGCCAAGGCAGCACCGAACTGCGCCGTCTGTGACCGTTACAGGCCACGCACAGGTGTTCCGGCTGAGGAAACCGGTGCCGTTCCCTGTCACACAAGTGTTGTTGGAGCCGGTGGCCCGGGCTCGCCGGGCGGGGGCCGGTCTTACTGAGCGAGGGCACCACCGCGTCGTGTTGCGCCGAGCGCTGCGCCGCCAGAGTGGCGTGAAGCCCAGCGCTGCTGCGCTCTGCGCGACGTTGACTTTGGCCGGCGTCCGAGGCCGATGCGGTGTTGAGCTCGTCGGTCCTGGGACGATGGTGTGTTGTTGAGCTCAGAGGTCAGTGGAGCTGGTGCGCCAGAGAGGTCCACCCCCTCCGGGACGGTGAAGCGTCAAGCTCGGCCGACTCCCGACACCACGGGACTTCAGCGCGCGGCCGGACGTCGCCATGGCGCTGACCAAGAACAAGCACGCCAGTAGCGCGCTCGGCTTCGCCACCCTCGTCAAGGGTGGACTGGAGGACATGGAGGAGAAGGCGGTGCGCAAGTGGTGTTCATGGATGCTGAGGTAAGTCGCCATCGCGGTCCCCTGCAGCCCTAGTTGTAGTTCGTTCAACCCACTCGTACCAGCAGTTCGTTCCTTGCTGAGGTTACGAGTGGGTATGATTTGCGCTGCAAAGGCTGAGAGTTGCGCCATGTTGCAGGCGGCATGTTCAAGGAAACTCGGGTAGGGCCAAGACCTCGGACGCCAACCGCTTTGTGGACAGCGCGCTGGAGTTTGCCAGGAGTATCATCAAGAATGAAGGACTGGACCCGCTCAAGGTGGCAGATGACGAGACGCTGTTCGAAGAAAAGGTAGGTTGCGCAGCCGCTCACTTTAGTGTGTCTCAGCGCGGCAATCCACCAATCAAGTAACTTCTTTTTTCTTAAAAGTATCCGTTGCGCGTGTTTGTAACCTCTCAACGAATGGTTAGACGGGATTCCTTGGAAAACGCTTCGCGCTTGTGCATTCGCGGCAAATGAGCACCGAGAAAGGAGCAGGTCACGTGCGGGAAGCTAGCGGACAATATGGTGGGGTCGTAGGCCGAACGTCGCTGAAGTTCACACGCTCCTATCTTGTAAAGTGCGACACGATCAAAATATAAGATACAGAGCACGGATGGGAGGCGGTCGCGCAATCGCAACACGTTCTGTGTCCGCAGCTGTTCTTCATTCGGCTGTCCGCCTCCGTGACGTTCCTGGCCACCTCGCTGAAGGGCCTCTCAACGCTCCGGAGGAAGGGCGACGCATCGCTGGAGCTGGATGGAGACTGGCTCTCCCTGCAAACCCAGCTGACCACGACTAAAATAGAGGTGGACCGCAGAGTACCGCTCTGCTTACTCATGTGAACTGCGCCATATTGAAAGCCACCTGATGAGCACTAAAGGCACTGGTTAGAATAGGGCAATCACCATGATAGTTCGGCTGACCTCGGGTGCCTCGAAGTCGTGTGAAAATTGGCTCTGCCGTGTTTATGCACCCACGGCGGCCTGTGACTGGCTGCAGCGGCTAGATACCTGCTGCCGCTGCCGCGTGTTCACAATGGGCCTGCCCGATGGCAGCTCTTGTTCCGTGCAATAAGTCCATGCGGCACAGTTTTTTCAGGTGTGCATTATCACGTCTCCGGATATGTCATTGTGCTGATGAGATTATCGCCCCTTGACTTATCTACCTTAACCCCGTGCTGTTTTATTCGAAGTGCATGTCGAACTGCACAGCCAAGTTTATGGACCTCGGGCCGAACTTTGACCTGACCGTGGACGTGGACGCGGTCACCGTGAAGATGAAGGCGCGCATCAACACCTCCACCATGCAGATCATCATCCCTCGTTCGAGGTGGTCCACGTCGGGTGAGAAGTCGGGATCGGTGCGGGGTGCGCCGTGCAGCATGTTGGAATCAGAATTGTTGGGCATTACTCTCGCCATCGCACGCTTCGTTCGTTTAACCGTTATAGTCATGGGGCGAGCCATTCACTGCTCCTTCGATCACATATACGATAGTTTTCATCTGCGCGATCGGGAAGTTGAAGAATGCTTTGTCAGTAAACAGCTAGGGTTGTCTGGTTGTCACAGGCACACAACGCTGGTGCAGATAGCTGGCATCAGTCGTGTATCATGGAAAAACTTGAGGTACTCATCCCAACAGTGCGGTGCATTCTTATAATTACTATTTTTACACAGTTCCGCTTCTCAGTTCTAGCGTGGGATTCAACAGAACATAAAAAAATCTGTATAACTGGTCAAAATTTCCTTAAAATTGTTTTAAAAAACTGAACTTTGGTTTAAACCTCTTCGTTTCTGACGTTTTTTGCCAGTTCCATTTATTGCCGCAATAATTATTGGAAGCTCTCTCGTTACCATGGGTTAAAAAGAGGTGAGTACCACCTAACGATACTTCTATCATGATGGCGTGTTAGTCCCGAGCGTTCGACCCAAGCCAAAAAGCTAGCGATCATATTTTAGGTTTTCTGAATTTGGGGAAGTTGGAAATCAGCATTTTCGCGCCAGAATTTCACTCTTCCTGACAGAATATGTGGGTGTTCTCCTCACTGCGGGTTTATGACCTCTTAAACCTCACACAACCAAACGTTCTCACTGTCGCCACTTTGCACGCATCGAATTCAGTTTCTGCCGAACACCTCTAAACCAGCTTAAGCTTTGCCCTACCGACGCGTCTTTGTCGTTGGCAATCACCGCACTCGGTAGCCAGCGCCGACCGATGTAGGCCCGCCCGACCGCCGACAACTGTATCAGCAGGCAGAACCGACCAATGAGCGTCAGCCGCGCCGCTAACGTCCGCCGGCCGAGACCAATGAGCGTCGTCGGACCGCTAATGCCCGCCCCGGCCGCCAGGGACGTGGACGCCGAGTGCGACGGCCTCTTCCCGATCGACTCGCTCCTGGCAGCCATCAGCGAGCTGTTCATCAAGCGCTGCAAGGACAGCATCGTCAAGGTGTTCGAGTTCGAGGCGCAGTGCCAGATGGAAGCGGCGCTGAAGCGGCTCGACTTCACGCAGATCGTGCGCTCGTACGGCCGCAGCTACTTCCGCAGCGCCACAGACGTGGTGCGCCACAACGTGCCCGTGCCGCGATTGCCTTGAGGCGGCGCCGCCACGGGCTCGGCGGCGCCGCCCAGGCTCCGAGTGTGACGCTGCGCTGTTGCGCGGCTGGGCGTGTTCAGGCTCGACTCTCCGCGAGCGGGCCGGGCCCTTCCGGCGCGGAGGGCGGTGGGACAGCTGGGAGTGTTCCAATGCCAATGCGAGTCGTCCTGCGGCAGCACGAGGCCTGAAACAGTCCCGTGTTGGGATGCGACCACGTATCCCACCACGTATGAACGTGCCCAGTGTGGCGACGAGGGCCTCGCCTCGATTCCACATGGCCTGATGACCTGGGGTTGACAGCGAACGGAATCTGAATCATGCGCCTACGGGTTGCCCAGTGCATCCACCCACGTGCCGGATCACCACGGGTCAGCCCGTGCGGAGATGTGCAGATGTGCTATGGAGAGACCTCGGGTGTGAAGGAGGCTCGAGTGCAATGTATCGACAAGGTCCAGATACTGCGGGGAGACTGCAAACTAATATCACGATGCGCGCTGTGGAATGACAGATATGAAGATGGCGTCAGCTCGCATTTACGGAGAAATGACAGGGACGAACGCTTTATGAGGCCGTGTGCGCGAAAACTATGAGCTCTCCAGTATGCGACTTATAACAAATATACGCAAATATGAATGCGATGCAGCAATTGAATCCGCGGCACTGCTTCCAAGTCGGCATATCTTCAATTTTTACCAGACTGACCATGGTTTACCCAAATTCACTCGGGTCTTCTAAATACTTAACTGACACGCAGTCGTGCATCTTTTCGTTGACCTCTAATTACATAATACAGCAAACACAATTCATGTCTGCCTGCTTTACACCACCAACGCCATAGACACGCATCTCCCATGTATTGCACTTGCGGACTTCCACATTTTCAGCCTATCTTTGGTACGCAGTACACTATCAAATCAGAGGCTCCCTACCGCTACGCTAGGCGCCTCTCTGGCACCAAATTAACTTTATATCCAGCACCTTAACAAGTCACATCATCCATTAACACAGGTAAGACCACACAACATATCCGCCTACACCGCCGACCTATGCACTTCTTTTTCTTCACAACTGCGCCCTCGCTACGCACCTACGCCGTTCCGGCGTCTGCATTCACTGTCAATGTCACAGCTGCGCGCGCCAGCTGTCGCAACGCCCCGGCCTGCACGGGCCCGTGCACGGCAGCGGTATGTCCCCGGGAGGCTTCCACCGGCGCCGACCCAGACACGGCCCCAAGCCGAGTCGGAGCTGACCGGGTCTCCCGGCCGGCTGGAAACATCGCCTTCGGCCAAGCCATCTATCCGTGAGCCTGGCGGTCGAGTCCGCGCTCCGGGCCAAGCCGGCGGACCAGGCCAGGCCACCATGCTGAGTCGGCCACCGGGCCAGGGCCTCAGGCCGCGCCCGTGACCTGGCCCGGGCCTCAGGCCGCGCCCGTGACCTGGCCCGGGCCTCGGGCTGCGCCCGTGACCTGGCCCGGGCCTCAGGCCGCGCCCGTGACATGGCCCGGGCCTCACGCCGCGCTCGTGACCTGGCCGAGTCTCCGGTCAGGCCTACAGCCGAGCTGGAACACGTAACAGGGTCGCTGAGCTAGTCCGAGTCGTCAGCCGTGCCGTCGGCCGCGGGCGCCTCCTCCGAGCGCATCTTGACGAGCAGCGCGTTCCTGGCCACGCTGTCGCCCACACGGTGAAGCACACTCTCCACGGTGCCGGCCGACGGCGCCTTGATCACGTACTGCAACGCGGGCGAAACGGTGAGACGTCGCGGCGAGGCGGACACGTGCCACCGCTCTGTCGCGGAAGTGATCGACACCTTATGCGGAGTAATTAAGCTCTCACAGCGCTATACAGCGACAGGTGCCATTTCTCAACGAGCCCCGCAGGCCATTGCAAAACAATTCAGGTCTCGAGTGGGTGGTAATACGCTAATGATCTGTGGAAGAGAGTAAATGCTTACACCTCCTTTACGACAGTTCGCAATCAATTTTGCCTGCACCCAATATTCAGATGCGCAGACGTCATTTACTTCCGACCACATTAACGGCACCGGCTGCCAAGAACGATGCGTCACAAACACCATCTACACCGCGTTAAGTGATTGCCTCCGCTGGAACCCTTCCCCAACCAGCTCACCTCCATCTTCATGGCGATGATGACGACCAGCGGATCCCCGGCGCTGACCTGGTCCCCGTCAGCCACCATCACCTTCTCCACCACGCCCGGCATGGGGGCCACGGCGTCGCCGCCGGCCGCCGCGCCCGCGCCGGCCCGCCGGAACTTGGGCTCCGGCAGCCGCAGAGTGCGCACGCCCGCCTGCGGAGGGGGGAGGGGGGTCAGCGCGAGGCCCGGCCGCCGCGCCCGCGCCGGCCCGCCGGAACTTGGGCTCCGGCAGCCGCAGAGTGCGCACGCCCGCCTGCGGAGGGGGGAGGGGGGTCAGCGCGAGGCCCGGCCGACCGCCAGCGGCCTCATCCCCACCTTCCTACCGACCCTCGTCGGCGCTGGGCCACGCGGCATCAGGGGTAGCTTGACCTGGCGGACTACTCAGCGTGGGAATATACCCGTAGCCTGGGCACGGTGACGCACGTGCGCGCGTCGAGCCGGGCCTGGTCGCGCGCCACAGTGGGGCTGACAACTGCCGGGTCGAGATGCAGACACGTGACCGCGGAGAAAGCCGCCGGCACAGGCGGCGTGATCGCGGTGAAGGATGCAGGGGAAACGACTAGAGCCCGCACGAGGGGCACCCACCTCGGTGAAGAGGTGGACGGCGTCCGGCTGCAACACAACTTGTATGTGCGTGACCTCTCCCGAGATGTCCGAGGTCAAGGTCACAACACCGTCGACATCCGCCAGGCTGCCAGACACCTGGCGGCAGCGAGCACACGCCTGGTGTTCACCACCAGTGTAATACCGCATTTGATGCGGGGCTATATGCTTGAGAACCGAGGTCACCTTTCCACGGTACCCCCATGCGCAAAGATGGGTTACCATGATCTTGCCAACAAGTTACCCACCAAGTTTCAAGAACGCCAGGTACTCCGCGAGACGCCCCTCCCCCAACTTCCACATCACGTGACCACTCCACCCCCACCCCTCCTTCTGAATGATGTGATCCCTGCACCCGTTACTTCCTCCCATTCATCGAGATCACGTGACCCTGTCGCCTGTTACTCCCCCCCCCCCCCCCCCCCCCCCCCCCCCCCCCCCCATCCGACATCATTTGACCCTACCATTTGCGCCCCCTTCCCACACACCAACAATACGACGAGGGGTTGGCAGGTGGGAGGGAGGGGGCATGGCGTTGGCCGACGCCACGACGTGGTCACGTGGCCAGCTCACCTGGTACTCCTGTCCTCCCACCGACATCGCGTGGTGGCCAGCTCACCTGGTACGCCTGTCCTCCCACCGACATCACATGGCCAGCTCACCTGGTGCTCCTTCCCTCCCACCGACATCGCGTGGTGGCCAGCTCACCTGGTACTCCTGTCCTCCCACCGACATCGCGTGGTGGCCAGCTCACCTGGTACTCCTGTCCTCCCACCGACATCACGTGTCGTCCGTCGACGTCACTCTGGACGGTGACCGGGTGAGCGGTGCCATCGGGCGCTGTCAGCGCCACCTCGCGGCGCAGTCGGTGGTTCAGCCGCACCCCCGGCTGGCTGACGTACGGCGAGAACGGGTCCCGCGACTCCAGCGCCGCCCGCAGGCTCTGCCGGCGCTCCCCCAGCAGTAGCGCCAGCGCCGCCTGGTGGAAAGGGACGCAACTGATGGCGGGGGGCACTGGACCGTGCGGACAAGGCGGCAGTGGGTGGCGGGACGTGACAATGACTGGCAGCGGGTGGCGGAACGCGACGCCGACCCGGAAGCGGGTGGCGGGACGCGACACTGACCTGACAGAGAACAGACCGGACTGGCGGCGATGGACAATGTCAGGACGCGCGAGGCACCAGGCGCAAGGCGAGGTCGGACGTACGACAGACCTGACACAACGCCGCATCGGAGACGGCTTCCGGTGGGAACAGCTGATCGTGATGGCGAGGTATGAACTCCGTGTCCACATTGCCGGCCACAAACTCGGGGTGGGCCGCCAGCTCCAGAAGGAAGTTAATATTCGTATTGAGACCGACAATCTGTAACAGGCAAATCATCCATATCAAACACTAACAAGTCGACAAGGCTGACATAGTTGACCACCAAGGAGCCCACAAGTTGACAAGGCTGACATAAACGCTGTTGTAAGCTTGCCTTACTAAGGTGGCAGTTCATCAAGCTTAATGTAACCACATTTTGTGGCGCACATCCTACTGGACAATACAATACGCCTGTCAATATATCATTGAAGAACCTTTTTGCCATATTCCCACTCCGTTAACCGCTCAGCACCCTCCTATTGCTATATTCCCACGCCGTTTGCCGCTCAGCACTCTCCTATTGCCATATTCCCACGCCGTTTACCGCTCAGCACTCCCCCAATGCCATGTTCCCATGCCGCTTACCGCTCAGCACTCCCCCAATGCCATGTTCCTATGCCGCTTACCGCTCAGCACTCCCCTACTGCCATATTCTAAGGCCGTTTACTGCTCAGCACTCTCATACTGTCTTCTTCTCACGCCGTTTATTACTCAGCACTCCCCTATTGCCATATTCCAACGCCGTTCACCGCTCAGCACTCTCCTATTGCCATATTCCCACGCCGTTTGCCGCTCAGCAGTTCCCTATTGCCATATTCCCACGCCGTTTACCGCTCAGCACTCTCCTATTGCCATATTCCCACGCCGTTTACCGCTCAGCACTCTCCTATTGCCATATTCCCACGCCGTTTGCCGCTCAGCAGTTCCCTATTTCACCGCTTCGAGATCAAACCATGTTACAAAACGCTACATTCGATGGAAAATGAGTCTGTGAAATCACGGACCTAACTTAACGCAACCAACTGTTGCGCCAGTCTGCACTCATTGCGAGCTCGGGATACCGTGCAGCACGGAACAGCAGCCTTTCCGACTTCCAGGGCAGTTGACAGAACAGCTGTGGACGCTATGATGGGCGGGCATACCACCAGCGTTCGCACTACCACAGAAACGTGCATACGGAGAGGCATACGAATCCCACAACGGCGACAAAGCGTACCGTAGTGGAACAGTAGCTCCGAAATAAAACGAGACATTTTTTGTCCCTACCAACACGAAGCCCGACATCACATGTTACGTCCCATTTGGCAGCTCGCATGCGAGTAAAAACTACCAAATGGCAGGCGCTGATGCGCGTATGAAGCGCGCCGGAACTGACCGCGTACTGGGCGAGGCACCGCCGGAGTTTGCGCAGCGCCAGCTGGCGGTCCTCTGCCCACACCACCAGCTTGGCGATCATGGGGTCGTAGTGGAACGACACCTCGTCGCCCTGACGTACACCTGGCGGGGGCGGAGGCCGCTGGTCACTGGCGCGCGCTGACACAGTGACGCACCGGTTTGAAAGGTACAGCGCTGCAGGATCGCATCCAGTCACTCACGTGCTGGTGGAGCAGCGCATGAGGGTGGCGCAAACTGGGTGGGGGTACTGTGGTGGTGTAAAACCAAGGCGCTGACAATGCGCGAGCATACCACCAATCAGCCGTATGGCTGGTATGCAAGCAATGGGTGACGCTTAAATCCGGCAGGCCAAATCAGCGTTATCATCCCAACTAAGCCACAAATGCGTCCAATGCACGCCGAGCCAGCGCCTTCGCACCCGTGGCCGTGTCCCATGTGTCCATGAGGACACTCGGAACAGACTGAGTCCCTCAGCGCATCCATAATCTGCCCTGGCCCGTCTCCACGGGCACAGTCAGACCGGGACTCTTACGCGTCCTCCAAGTCAACTCCCTGACACCACAAACAGCGCCTCCTCTTCACACCCGGGGCCGTGCCTCATCCGTCCCCAGGGCAACGCGCCAGCCTGACCGACACGGGGACTCGGAAGGAAGCTCCACACTCGTGACCCCACCCGCCCGTCGCCACGCCGCCCGTCGGGGCCTGCCCCGGCGTCCGCCGCGCCTCACCGGTCTCCACGCGGACGTCCGGTCCAGGTCGGGGCGCGCTGAGGTGCAGCAGCGGGCCGGCTCCTGGCATGAAGCCCGCGCGCGGGTCCTCGGCGTACACCCGCGCCTCGAACGAGTGGCCGCGCATGGGCACCTGCTCCTGCAGCAGCGGCAGCCGCTCGCCGGCCGCCACCTGGCGGCGACGGGGGGCGTCAGATGGCAGCAGTAGACCGGAGTCGATGGGAGCGGGGGAGCACGTCATGCCCGGCGGCGGCTCCCGTCTACGTGCAGGTGCGGTCAGATCCACATTCTGCACTGGATGCGGCATCAAAAGGCAGGAAGTGCTAAGTGGGCTGCCTTGCCTAGGCTCACAGGTCATAAGGCTATAGGGTCATAGGTCATAGGTCACAGGGTCAAAGGGTCATAGATCATAGGCATACAGTCATAGGGTCATGTGTCATAGGGTCATGGGCCACAGGTCATAGGGTCATAGGTTCAGCATTCACTCAGCAAAGGCGCCGCAGTTAAGGCCACAACCGCAAGCCAAGGCCACACACGCTGACCAGCAACCAACAACTGGCGAAAGGCTCCAACCAGACTTCGAGTCCCAAAACGCAGCACACGGTCCGCCCGCGTGATCAGACCCGAGACGCGTCGCCATCTCACTCTGCCGCAAGCCCCCAACGACGCCAAAGCATCTGTCTGTCCGAGGCCGGCGTGCCGAGACCTCTGCCACCGAGAGCCCGCCTCCGGCACTCGTAGCGTTTGGCGCCCTGCCCAGGGAGTCGGCCCCTTCCCCGTCCCCGTCCCCGCCACCGCCGCCGTATCCGATGTCCGCTGTGTCCGGTCTCACCCGCAGCTGCCACTCCACCAGGTCCGTGCCGGTGATCATCTCGGTGACGGGGTGCTCCACCTGCAGGCGCGTGTTCATCTCCATGAAGTAGAACCGGTGCTCGGCGTCCAGAATGAACTCGACGGTGCCGGCCCCCACGTAGCCGACGGCGCGAGCGGCGCGCACGGCCGCCTCGCCGAGCTCGCGGCGCGTGTCGGCCGACAGGCCCGGCTGCCGGGGCGGATCAGGTCAGACTCGAGGCGCGTCTCGGCTGGCGGGCCTCGCTGACGGGCAGGTGGCCAGGTCACAGACCCGCGGCACACCATGGTCAACTCGTCCACCATCCCCACAGGTGGATGGCATCAACACATGACATCCTCGTTCGCCTCCGCCAGCCTTCGGCAACACCGACATGGGGACGCGGTGGGCGGCAGTGGACTGGCTGATCGGCAGGGCCAGCCGGCCACCCTGGCGCCGCCGCCACGGCCCGGTCAGTCGTACGAAGCCTGACAGTCTACCGGAGCGGCCGGAGTGCCACTGACGTGCCGAGCAGCACGTATGCCCGCCTAGAGTTTGCGCCTCTTCTAGATACATAAACTAACTGCGTGACATAGCCGACACCCTCCGGAAAACAGCTGAGCTCAAGCGTTCACTCCAGCAGCCTGCCCCCAGCGCGGCGTCCGAGCCCGACACGGGCTCCACGCGGCCCAGCCGAGCTCCCGTCCTCCGGCAACTCACGGCCGGCGCCTCCTCGATGATCTTCTGATGTCGCCGCTGCACGCTGCAGTCGCGCTCGTGCAGGTACACGTAGTTGCCGTGCTGGTCGCCGAAAACCTGGACCTCGACGTGGCGCGGATCCACCACAAACTTCTCGATCAGCATCACCTGGCGGCGCTCACAGGAGTCAGGCCGGCCGCCGGCTGAGAGGGCTGACTACGGCAGCTCAGCAGCGTTAGCGCTGTCGAGATATGAGGGCAGCCTGGCGTCAGTTGGGGAGTATGCAGGACCCAGTTAAACGAGTCCGTTCTACGAAGAGTATGGCAGGCGTACGGAAAACAACAGAACTAGATGGGATCCACACTACCAACTACATGTTCTCATTTGGACAACAGTCTACTCAATTGATTCATTCAAATATTCCAGCCCGCTCCGTCTAGATATGACCTGGTCTGAGGTTGCTCGACCAGCACTGACCTGGTCACCGAAGGCCTTCATCGCCTCGCGCCGGGCCGACTCCAGCTGAGCGTGGAAGTCGTCCCTGGTGGCTGCGATCCGCATCCCCTGTCAACCACAACCCCGCTCAGGGCTGGGCGGCGACCGACACGGCGCGGTATCAGGGGCCGGAGCTGATAACCCCGCTCAGAGCTGGGCGGTGACGGGCACGGCACGGATTATGCCATCAGGGGCCACAGCTGATAACCCCGCTCAGAGCTGGGCGGTGACGGACACGGCACGGATTATACCCATCAGGGGCCAGAGCTGATAACCCCGCTCAGAGCTGGCCGGTGACGGACACGGCACGGATTATATCCATCAGGGGCCGGAGCTGATAACCCCGCTCAGAGCTGGCCGGTGACGGACACAGCACGGATTATATCTATCAGGGGCCAGAGCTGATAACGCCCCCCGTACTGGGCGGTGACGGACACGGCGCGGATTATATCCATCAGGGGCCGGAGCCGACAACCCCGCTCAGGGCTGGGAGGTGACGGACACGGCGCGGATTATTCCCATCAGGGGCCGGAGCTGATAACCCCGCTCAGAGCTGGGCGGTAACGGACACGGCGCGGATTATATCCATCAGGGACCAGAGCTGATAACCCCGCTCAGGGCTGGGCGGTGACGGACACGGCGCGGATTACATCCATCAGGGACCAGAGCTGATAATCCCGCTCAGAGCTGGGCGGTAACGGACACGGCACGGGCCCGGGATCGTCCCGGTGGACGACTTCGGACTGAACGTGATACACTTGACGAGGTAGCCGTGGATGCCTCATCCATATTAAGTCGGGACTGGTGACTCGCTTAATTTGTTTAACATCGATTATCCACCTCATCGGACCATGGCAAACCAGGCACTTAATTTGCGATGAAACCGTACACGTCATTAGGAATCAGTGTCACGCGCCACACGGGGAGAATATGCCTCAAGACGTCCAGAATGGCATTCAATGCAATAGGCACCGACATGGGAACGTTGAAATATTAGCACGTTGCATGCCTCGCAGTTTTTTTTTTAAATTGCGCCATAAGGTTCTCTCAGCCATAAATGCCTGAAGATGATGCAGCACATCCCTATCATACCCATGTCTCACTGCGAAGCCACTGACTGTATGGATGCTGCATGGCAGCTTACCTTTCCACCACCTCCCATGACCGCCTTAATCATGACGGGAAAGCCAATCTTGTCCGCCTCCTGCAATAGCTTCTCGTCTGACTGATCGTCGCCATGGTAACCGCCGATCACTGGAACGCCGGCAGCGGACATGATCTTCTTCGAGGTGCTGCGCGGCGAAGGCAATTTGTCAAACAGGATGCAGAACATGCCAGACATGCCATGCAAATGACGACACCAGAGAAGGACCGGCATTGGACACCGCCCGTTTGCACAAAAGCGAGCACCCATACATGCTCGGGCTAGAGCCCCATACTCCAAACCCCCAACGCTTCGAAGGTCTATCCCGCGCGCCCACTCCCCACATTAGCCGCCCGTGCGCGCGCCGTGCCCACCTCTTGATACCCATGTCCCGGATGGCGGTGGCCGGCGGACCGACGAACGCCACGCCGGCCGCCTGGCACGCCTCGGCGAACGCCGTGTTCTCCGAGAGGAACCCGTAGCCGGGGTGCACCGCATGCGCACCGGCGCGCCGCGCCACCGCCAGGATCCGGTCGGCGCGGAGGTACGACTGCTGCGAGGCGGCCGCTCCGATGTGGTACGCCTCGTCCGCCTGCGCGCGGGCAGGGCACGGTCAGCAGAGTGCCGCAGGCCTGTTGTCCCGACGGACGCGGCGTCAAGTCAGCTGTGATGACGGCGGCACTCTATTTGCCAGTCCCGTGAGTTGCTATGCTGATAAGCTGTCGCCGTCTTCTGATGCATACTGGGCACCGGTAGATGGCAAAGGGCCGCAGCGAGACGCGACGAGTTGCACCGAGAATTGGCACCCGGGCTCCAGCAGCATGCCATGATCCATGTCCAAACATGTGAGTTAAGAACAAACTGGGAGGCCACAGCCGACTTTGGATAACGTTGGGACCCATGCCCTCAGCCACTCCCCGTGGCCACATCTGAGCCGGCTCCCGACTGTGCCGGGCGCACCCACCATGGCCACGTGCAGAGCCTGCCGGTCAGCATCCGAGTAGACAGCCACTGTGCGCACGCCCATGCGGCGCGCCGTGCGGATGATCCGACACGCTATCTCGCCGCGGTTGGCGATCAGCACCTTGTCGATGGCGCGGGTGGCGCCGCCCTGGTGGTAGCAGCGGGCAGCGAGACGACGCAGCCTGCCGACATGGCCCCCAGGCGCAGTGGGCGTCAGGTGGGCTCAGAGCGGGACGCACCGAGCACAGCAGTGTTCTGGTGAACACCCTGCCAGAAGCTATAGCTGTTGGAATCCATCAAGGACAGTCTACACAAGAACAAATTATTTAGAAGTCTGTACTTGCAGATTGTCTGTCAGACAAGTTAATGTGATGAGGATGCCTGTGAGGCACAATGGTCCAGAATCCCAATCCACACCATAATGCCACAATGGCATCACAGCCAGCTTTGCGCCCACTTGCTTGCACCTCACCACAGTTGTTACTCAACTGGAAGCTGCCACCTGGTGCACACAAGTACACATGTGATACATATTCTTACAAATATGCAAGGGCCAATGTACTCATATACAACCAAAATAACAAACTACAACACCTTTAATGGAGGCTAAGTGATATGCTTTGATTACACTGGAGACCCAACTGGATCAACAGCAATTTCATCTCCCACACCAGGTGCCTTTTCAGCCTAGAACTACTTGCTCACATGATGTTTCCTTGGAAGTACTTGGACATGGTAGGCAATCAGCAACTGTGCCAAAAGAACAGCTGGCCAAAACCAACCCCAGCTACTGATGAATGTGCTTTGTCTGTGGGCCAGCCAAGCTTGCAGCAGATCTGAAGAAGACATGAGCAATATCATTATCACCTTATAGGTGTTGCCACTGCCATTATTGGCCACTTAGTATCACTATTGATGTGTAGTTATACACTATGCAAACACACTAAGACCAACAATAAGCATTTTAATCAAAGTTGATAGTCAGGTTAGACAGATGCATCAAGCATGTCATCATGTGTTGTCATTAGTGTGATATCTGGATAAGCATTTTAATCAAAGTTGATAGTCAGGTTAGACAGATGCATCAAGCATGTCATCATGTGTTGTCATTAGTGTGATATCTGGCTAACTCTTTCAGTCAGGTGAGTCTGTTGAGTTTAGGAATAATAACATATGCTGCAATAATACCAATGTAAGTAACAGCATGTACTAAACTATTACCAATAATCTATCACACATAGCCAATAAGCTGCACACCCTTTACTCAAGCATGCCTGTATGGTCCAGTACAGTGCTAAGGAAATATGTGTGAGGTACTGTATTTGAGTGAATCAGCAAAGTAATTACAGTTCTCACATTGGCTGCAAAGCAACTAACAGCAGCAAAGTGAATATCTAAGCTTCAGCACAGCAATCTCAAATGCACTTCTATGACAATTACAGGTTAAACATATTTTGTAATTATCTTAGTCATGAAAATGGGTGGGTAGCTATAAGCAGCACTCAAGACAGTAGCAGGAGACTGGAATCCAGGTGGTGCATATAATGTATGGTAAATCTGCCACAGCACCTGTCATTAAGTTTAGTTTGATCATTGCAAGATGCTCATTCAGGTTAATTTGCTATGCAACACTCAGCAGTTTTTGCCCATATACTGGGCTGAGTGAGTTTAGTCATAATTCAAGTAAAGTATAATTCAAAAGTCATCAATTAGTATATTTTGCAAGTGCTTCTCCCATCAGGCCACAGCAATTCTAGGTATCTTTAGGATAAGTGCTGAATGGTCACCAATGCATTCACCCAAAACTGAGCCCGTACATCTCATATTCTGAACACTGCCTCTGCCAATTTTGTGTCGTTCCAAGACCGTGCTCTGTCTAATCTTTACCAACTTGCAGGCTGCATAATAGCTGTGGAAATATATGAAGTTCGTGTACAGCTATAAGACTGAGATGTCTCACACCTTCCTGGTCATGGTTTGGCCTTTGAAATGTGTGAACTGAGGCTCCCACTGACTTCAAGAATATATTTATAAACAAAACAACAGCTCATGCTGTGCAGCACGTTGTGAAAACAGCGCACCATGCAACAGTGCACCCAGCCTGCCCTGGCCACCTGGCAGATAGCCTTGACCTGGCAGAAGCCGGGACGCCGCCGTTGCAACGCTGCCAACGTGTGCGCCAGCAGCAATACTCGTTATGCACAGAGTGTGTCGTGACATAGATAGCATAGCTCACTCAATTTTCATTACGCATATATAATCTCCAAAACGGACACTGGTCACGCGCCTTCTTCCCACGCCACCCACCAGCGTTCTTTTCCTAGTGGCCGACAACGCTATTCGGAAACAGCGAAACGCCGCCCACCACTAGGCGGCGAACGAAGGCAAGGTGCACCCGAGCAGGCGGGGAAGCGGCTGGCACTCAGCCTGGCGACAATTGTCAAGTCCAAAAACGGAACTCCCAGCAACTTGGACGGCCCAATCCAGTGCAAACGCAGTACGTGTGCGCGCGTGATAACACAGCAGAGCTGTAACGACCGTCTCATCACTTTCGGGTCCGTTCTCACGGTTTAGGAGGCGCCGATTTGGCTGGATTGTTCCTAGTCCAGTAATGGACCTCCCTACAGGCGGGATGCCAGGACGTCCAAAACGGCACAAAAATGCCACTTGTACACACGTGTGACACATGGCGACATGTTTCAACCACTATTGCATTGGGGATCGAAAATTGTGTCATCGTACAATTGGTCTCGTTGGCTGCCGTCTCGTTGCACGTAATTTGCCGGGGGGTCCATTGTTGGACTTGGTAATTATCGACCGGCCGGCCGGCAGCCAACGCGACGAGTGCTCTCTCGGGGCACAAAATTCAAGTCGCGCTTTATTCATTGATCTGCCATTTCCCTGCACACTGTCCATCGAAGCGCATAGATAAACACCAGGCAGAGGTCGGCTTGTCATATAACACCATGTTGTGCGTATGAGCACTAACACATGAGCACGTATCTTAACACAAAGGTTTATTCGGCAGTCACTGGAGCAGCGAGCGGCCCACCGTCGCATGCGCGTGTCGCGGCGTGAGAAAGGGAGCGGATGTTTGTAGAGTTTATCTGTTGGCGCTGACGAAAGGCATATAAGACATTGAGAAACAATTCGCCAAATGAAAGGTCTTGACGAGTTGGAACTATTTCTGTCGGCGTGAAGAAATAAGTTACAAGGTAGGAAATGACTGTAGGTACAGCTGGCGGAGGTAACGTGGCAAATTCCAAGTGAAACCTGAAACTGCATAGGACACGATGCCATCTAGCGGATGGGGCGGCAGGCGCATTTTCAGTGGCGCCGCCTACAGGTGACGCCGTCAACAACCACACATTAGCTACAGATCCATATATTAGACATGCTAATTACTGCGATACGGCGTGAGCACGAAAAGAATGCACGCTACTTAACAGACCGCAATTACTGTGCGAGTACCTGAGCGCATCATTCTAACAGAACTCTTCTTCTAAATGGTCTAAAGACAGGAACAAAGACCGGGATCTCAGAATTGCCGAAGGGTCGGCGATTTCTGCGCCAGGATCACATTTTCAGAGGTGTAGCCGCCGAGCGCCCAGCCGTCGGGCGCCTGGCCGATATGGTCTCCCATACGGACGCGTGGCACGAGTCGGTGTCCATGTCCCTCCGACAGCCGACTATCACCCGTGCTATACTGTCTGGACGTGCCCATGTACTGGTTGAATTTGTGTTTACTGCGACGAGCTCGGTGTTTTTAAAGCCCCCTTCCCTCCCCATCCCCCCTATTAATTGTCGTGGCGCCCATGTCCGGAACGAACGCACGGGCAAAACGTAACAAACAAAAACCGTACTCGCATGTTGAAAAAGCAGCATGTGACTCGTGGCAGGTAGATACGCCACGCGCCACAGCGCGCTAGCAAAGTAACTCTTGACAAAGCGGTGCTTCAATGCCCTGGTATCAATGGAAAAGTTACATGTTTTTTGGCAGGTAGCGAAAGCAATGTCACCGATGTCATGTACTCCGTCGTGGTAAAAATCATCCGATTCGGTTGAGGACATGCAGCGATGTTTTGGAGTCTGCATATCGTAGCATTATAAATACGTTTGACTCTTAAAGCGTATTCTTCTGCAGAAAACATCGTCCTGAAGTCTGAAAGACGTCTGGTGGATCGGGAGTCCGGACCAACGGTTGCTGCACCTACCTGGTCATAATACGCAGATCCATCGGCGCTAACTAAAAAATGGACTCACCGTGCATGCTTCTGCACTGCGAAAAGATAGGTGTACGATACGTACAACGTGCTCCGAGTTGGCGCATCCTCGAACCTCTCCGCGACAGGTCACGTTCACACGCAGGGCTCGAATCCTGTTCGACCGCTCCCCCTCGCTGGAGGACCTGACCTGGAGTGACCCGTCACCGGCCACGGCCACGGGAGCCGGCGCCTCGAAGGGGGATTATCACAACACCCAATGTTCGCAACCCCTAATGTATCACAACACCTGATGTTCGAAACACCTAATGTATCACAAGTCCTAATGTTCATAACCTCTAATATATCATAACCCCTAATGTATCATAACCCCTAATGATCGTAACTCCTAACGTATCGCAAGGCCTAATGTTCATAACCTCTAATATACCATAACCACCTGCCCGTTCATACCCCAGCGTCTGGACAACTCACAAAACCGTGAGCTGCGAAAGACACAAGAACAAGTTTTAAGAGATATTCTGGAAAACTCCATTCTGACTTCTAGAGGGCCCACTCTAGAGTGTAGCTGCCCACTTTCTAATCTTAGACAGTCCATTTTCGCATTTTGAAGTTCCCACAACTCGAACAAAGTCCCTGCGCCTTTGCAACCAGATCCCCGTGGCTACATAGTTGTCGGTTGCATGCGTAACGTGATCAGCGCGGTGCTAGGTGGTGCGTCGCGCAGTCCAGCCCACCACAGGGCTGGGCTGGGGCAAAAACGGACATTTTACGCTCGTCCGCCGGCATTATTCGTCATTTTCAACCCTGTCTATAAGGGTTCGATCGATGAAGCCATTAATGGAAACCCTTTGAAAATTGCTTAGAGGGGAATTGAAATATGCTAGGGCAAAATCGGCAGATTGGTAACGGGGACTTCCACGGGTTATTAGGCAATTAGCGAGAGCGTACGTTAAGGCCAACGCAGTACCTAACCGCCGAGTCTGATGCAAGGTTGGGACGCGGCACTATGCATATGCAATGAAACGTGTGTTTATCTGAAAAATGGGGCACAGTGGATGGTATGACGAAGCAGGTAAATCAATATATCTGGGGCAAATACAGACTAAATGCATCTTCGTTTCACAGACAGAGGGACGGTGGTTCCGTGGATGGCATGGCAGCCTCACTTTCTGGGAATGTGCAGCACTGACATTAAGGTAATAACTGGAAACAATAAACTACAATACGACAATGGGCACCCTCACTTTTTGAGGAGTGTTGCTTCGGCTTTGTTTCGGCTCCAGTGCCACATGACCTAACTTTTTACCTTTTTTACCAAGCCTACCTCACATACCGAGGCGCTTGAAGATGAGCTCCTTGCCCTTCGACATGCAGCTCTCGACGGCGCCGCTAGCCTCATCCGTCACGCCAGCATGCTTCTGCGCGAAGGCAGGGCTGGCGGCATCGGCGGTGGTGCGATGGCCTGCCTGTCTCGTGAGCGCAGCGGTCCCGGCCCAGCCCACGCAGGCCGCCGTGTCTCCGGCCGCAGCACCGCCCGGCGCGCCTGCTCACGGCCCATCGGCGAGCCCGGGGCGTGGCCGCGCCCAGCCCGGACACGGCCGCCAGGCACTCCGCGCACTACGTTTTATTGTACCTGTCACGTGATCTTCAGTGGAATGTCAGGTTGACTGTGCCATCTGTTGACACAGAGAGGAATGTGGCACTGTGTCATCTAGCGGCAGGAGTCGAAGGAATATGCTACTGTAATGTCATTTAGCAGTAGGAATTACGACTAATTCCGGGTCCCGTGATCGCTGGATGCTATGAACACTGGATATTACGACTAAGGATGCTGCGCGCTTGGATTATAAGAACGCCCTCAATGGGCACGGAATTGGACGCATGTAGGATGTTATGAGTGCTGGATGTTGCGATCTGGTAATGATGTGAACACTGGATGCTGTGATCGTGGGCGTTTTGACGGCTCCCCTGAAGGAGTATGGTCTGTGACACCGCCACGCCATTCGAAATCTAACATTGCGCGGCACGGGGCAGTACACTCCGTCCACCAGGTCTATCGGGCGATGTTAGATTGCGTTCAAAAGACAAAACACAAAAAACGAAACAAAAAACGCAATCAAGAGGCTTGCGTCAAAAGCTCCCAACATCCCGGCTGGTTTATCCCAGAAACCGATGGCAAAATGCTAAAAATGATAGATGGGGTTGCGGTCGTTCATGGGTTTATGAACCAAGTGCACTACTGCGACCAGGGGCGCAGTTTTATAGAATGAGGTGGGTGTCGAAGGCGGGGGGGGGGGGCAAAACAGTGCACAATGACCAAAAGCAGGCTTTTCCCCTGATTTGGCACACTTTCTCCGCAAAGTTGGGAGAGGGGGGGGGGGGAAGAGTTGGAGCCCAAGTTGAGGCTGCCCCGCAACTGGGTAGGAAACTACACCCCCGATTGTGACGTCACAACTCGGCGATACTTTGGCAGGAACTGAGCAAACCCCTCAGTCATGCGAATAGTCTTCTGGAGCTGCATATTACTACCCACCACACATCTCATACAAACAATGCTTATGTGTATCCAGCTGCTGTTCGCACGGTGCAGCACCTCATCATACAACTAAGGCGGTAAAATTGCACCCACATGTGGTTTAAGTGGCCTCATGCATGGAATCCCTCATCCACTCCGATGCTCGGTTATTGAGGAAGTGCGCAGGCAGTTGCTAACAAACATTCTGTAACACCTACCCGATCGATCGCTCTAGAATTATGCAACACGAACAGACTAGAGGTTAGTGGCTGGCCCATTCGTTGTGTTTGCGCTTGCAGAAGCCATGGCCGCAGTATGGATTTGTTTTCCACGCTCCCACCACCAGTACGAATTGCACCGTTTCCTGGGGGATCCCTGTGGGTAGTGAGCTGTCGGAAATCCCGCCCGCGTGTGCGCGTCAGACCAGCACGAAAAACAAAAATAAGGTCTATTGCATTGGCGAGCACAGTATCACAGCAATGTGGGAGCGAAAGCATTTCCGCGACAAAAAGAATCATTTTGACATAAAAAATATAATTTAGACCGAAACGTCAATTCCCATATGAACGCAAATGCGTACGCCAAGACAACACGGCTTTAACATTGCATGTCAAAAACGACCATTATGTCGGCATTATAACAACTTCCGTAATTACCTAGCCAATTTTAAGTTTGGCCATTTACATTCAACCAACGAACGCGCGGCTGACCAAACACAGTTTGCAGACCAAGGTTCAAACGCTGCTTCCTAACGCAATTGGGCGAGAAACTGAGGACGACTAGTACCAACTGACGACGGTCACGAGAAAACCGCTCCACGAGAACATACGTATCAAAAGCGGTACACATCATCGCTGAGATCCGCGCGCGGTGCCGCCGACATCGGTGGGCGCGGGTCCCTCTGACTGCGGCCGCTCCTCGTCCGGCTTGGGCAGCAGGCGACGGACGCGAGTGCGCCGGCGCATGCGCACCACGGGCCGCGCCGCCGCCTCCACGCCCTTGGGGAGGATCGGCACGAACCGGCGGCCTGCCGCAGGTGGGACGGCGCGCGGCTCGGCCGGCGCCGGCGGCCGAGCCGCCTCACCGACAGGCGCCGCCGCTCTCCGGCGCCGCTTGGCCGCCGGCGGCGCCCCCTGGCGCGGCGGAGCGCCGCCGCCGAGCTGCTGGGACCTCTGGGGCAGCCGCTGCCGACGACGCCGGCTCGCTAGGGTCGCTTGGCGCCGCTTCGTCGCCGACTGGCGGCGGCTCGCTGTCGGGAGGCGCCACCGTCGCGTGCTTGGCACGCACGTGTTGCGCCAGCTTGTCCGAGCGCGTCGTCTGATAGGGGCAGCGCTCGCACGTGAGCGCCACCTGCCGGCCGTGCAGCAGCGCGTGGCGGCGCATATTGCGCACGTGGCCGAACTTCTTGCCGCACACCTCGCACTGATACTGTTTATCGGAGGCGTGGGTCACCAGGTGGTCCTTGAGCAGCCACGGCGTGGTCGCCCGGAACGGACAACCGTCGTGCGGACACTGGTGCGTCATACCCGCGTGGCGCGCCTTATGCGCCTTGAACTGGCCCGTGTGGCGCGTGCAGAAGCCGCACACGTCGCAGAGCAGCTTCTTCTCTGCGCCGTGCGTGCGCGCGTGGCTCTGCAGCGCGTGGCGCCACTTGAACGCCTGGCCGCAGGTGCGGCACACGAACGGTTTGACGCTGGAGTGGGTCGGCATGTGCAGGTTCAGTCCAGTGCGGCTGGGGAAGCGGGCGAAGCAGACGGAGCAGAAGAAGGGCCGCGGGTCGTTGTGGCGCACGTAGTGGTCGGCCATGCGCTCACCAGGCCCGCATTCGTGGAAGCAGAGCGAGCACACCGTCTCGCCGTGGTCGGCCTGCATCAGGTGGCGCAGCAGCTGGCTCGTTTTCTGGCGCGTCACGCCGCAGTGCGCGCACATGTAGCTGCGTACGTGGTGCATGCGCCGGTGCTCGCGCATGCGCGACGCGCCGTGACAGAAGAAGGAACAGTTGCGGCAAACGAGCAGCTGGCCGTGACTGGCGTCGGCAGGGTCGTCAGGAGGCTCCGCGGTGGAGCCCGCTGGGGAGCCGCCACCGGGCTCCGGCTCCGAGGCCGGCGGCGGCGCCGGAGGCTCTGGCTCACCCACCAGCCGATCCACCGCGTGTTTCTCACAGGCCGACACCGCCTCCTCCATCTCCAGCAGTTTGGCAAGCTCGTGCAGCACTGGGTAGGTCTCCTCTGTTACCTGCAGCTCAGAGCTGCAATAGGCAAAGTCCACCAGCAGCTTCACACATTCTGCAAGCTGTGTCAGCTCTAAACTCTGAGTATCAACTGGCTGGAACTTGAACAGGTACTTGTAGCTGGACTTCTTGTGATTCCTTCTCAAAATTGAGGGGGCTGGACTGGAAATGCCTGGTGAAGGTGTTGCTGCACAGCTAGCCTGTTTAACTTCATTACTGATGCAGATAGCATTAGCATCAATTGTGATCAGGTCACCATCTATTGAGCTTTGATCAAATGATGCTGCACTAAAGTTCTGGGGAATTTCAAGAAGAGAATGAATGATGGGCATTTCATGATCATTACACCCAGTGCTAAACACCACCGTTGGCATGCTGGCACAGTAGATATTGCCTTCAGGTATTGTAACCAGCTCTGACACCTCTGCGGAGCCCATCATGACATGATCCGCATCTGGCTGGACACCCTCAGATTTGAAGTGGTTCAGATCAACTGGACATCCCATCTTCTCACGCCCAGTAGCAGTTTCCACAGGGCTGGCTTCTCGAGCTGGCTGAAAAAAATAGCAAGCAGGTTAACCTGGTATAATGGGCCTAGGATATATCAGACAAGGATTCATTTGATGAATAGTGTGAAGCAGGCTGCAGTCAATGCCAGAATTATTTAACTGATAAAGCATGACATACAATCTGGTGAATCAAAACACAATTACTTTACTGTCATGGTGGCATCTAAGATGTTGCATGGGTGCACCATCACACCCAAATTGGCATTATCAAATGAGATATTTTAGGGCAGGTGCATGTGGTCAAGATGACAAACAATATTGCATACATGCACCCATCACATGAAATGCTATACTTGATGATTTTAATCACCTGTTCACATGCATCAGCATCTGAACGGCCCGCTTGGACGGTCGCAGACAAGGAAACATATCCTCCCACACGCACGGAGGGGATATGCGGCAAAAGCGACGAAGGCTCTCTGGTTATATCTGAGAAGTAAATACTCGCAATTGCCAAAACATTAGAATGGACAGTTATTCTGATATTGTCTGCTATGGTTATCAGGGCATCACAGTACTCTCCGCTCTCCCTCTGCCGACAAAGGCCGTGTACGAGCCTGTCCTTCGCTGCCGGACAAGCCGCCATAATTGAAATATTCCGTCGTTCTTGATTGGGAGTCTTTTATCTTGATTCACTCAAGAAACTGCCGGTTCCAAATATGCACGGATAACCTCTGCTATCAGTCTGCAATAGTTTATGACATGTTGTTCAAAACTTTGTGATCCACCGTTATGATGCACCCAAAAAGCTCTTCAAGGAAAATGTCATTTATATAAAGAACGTCTTGATGGTACTACAGAAGCTACGTACTATCGACGAAGAAGCAAATCAAAACAAACCGTAACAATAACATTGCGTAACTGCCGTGGGCGCTGAGCACGCGGGGCGTGTGATGCAGTGCCGCGCCGTGGCTTGAAGGCAACGATTTGGGCTTTCGTGTGTTTCAAATCCTGGATGCATCTTAGTAAATGTGGGTGCCTATCCTGTTATTCTGGTAAGCTTGTTTTCAAGACCTATTGGTAGGTAGTATGTTTGCGCCAGCCGTCACCCTGTTCCTCGTCGGTCAGTGGTGTCTTGTATAGGTTTTCTTCCTTCTGTTTATGGGGTTTCTTTGCACCACGATTTCTACTATGTAGTTTCTACTATGAGAATGTGCACATAATGAGGTGAATGGCACGCCGTTTAGCTCTTCCCATGATGTTTTTCAGCATATAGAAATGTGGGAGAAAATCAGTCTGATCCAAGAGAGTGTGAACCATGATGTTTCATAATTATGCCTATATCACCACCCACTGGATGTAAATTCAAGTGTGCTATACATGTATGTGTATATTTAGGTGTTCCTAAAACAGTGCAAGGGGACCTCTGAGTGGTATTTCAGGTTACAATCCTACAGGCTGTAACTTCTTATGTGACCTGCAGCCAACTTTGGGCCCCAACTCCCTCCAACTGGGCCATTCATGGTCAGTTCTGGTGGGCCACCTGGCCAACTCTTCAGGCCTCATGAAACACTTCCCTTGGTTGGCTTGGGGCCCTTGTGAGCTTAGGGCTCTCTGTTGGCACTGTGGGCCCCTGCCAGATACAAGGCCCTGACCAGTGTAAATCACTGGCCCAACTTCATAGCTGATTGGAAAGTGTGTCCTCAGGCCCATACTGACACAGAGCTGACTATGTGGTGTGGTGGTACCTGACTGACATATAGGTCCATATAACCTCAGGGGTCCCTGATCATCTCACAGGGCCCTGTGGCACTTATTTGAGGGCCTGTGCTCACAAGCCATGACCACTGAATAAGACTGATCAGCCATTTATGCCTGCAGACTCTCCAATCTGGCACTTGATCTTCAGATCAGGTGGGTTTTCTGGGCTCCTTGGATCTCCTTGAACACTGCCTCTGGCTATCTCAGGGCTCTTGACAACACAGGGCCACTGTTAGGTGCTGTGGGACTCTGAGCAATGTAAATTGCTGGCTCAGACTCTGTCCCTTTTTTGGAAAAGGGCTCTTAGGACCATGGTACCACAGGGCTAAATGTGTGTTACTGGTAGCATCTGACTGAAATATAGACTCTTATTGACCAGTGGGCCCCTGACCAGTACACAGGGCCCTCTGGCTGGTATTTGAGTGTCCAACCCTGTGGGCCAGGGTCTCCTGAATGAGACCTCTGGTTGGCTGTTTGGGTGCTCAAATTGGGACCCTAATTGTAGGTTCTGAGAGGCCTGAAGGGCCCTTGGATCCTAAGGGAAGGGGCACATGCCCCTTGTGCACTCCCCTGCCTGTGCCACTGGCATCAGTTATGTGCAAAACTTTGTCATAAGTTGAGGTGAAATACTTTTAAGGGAACCATGTCCATCAAAAATCCTATTGAAGTGAAGGTTGTTGTACATTTTGGCTCAATCTTTATTTGGTAAGTTTGCTTAGTTGGTAGATATCTTTCTTTTTGGTAGCCAGTCTTACTTACCACTGAAATAATTTTGTAACATTTGGGTTAAATGCTGGCCAAATGGTCAAAAAGAACCAGCTGACAGTACTTCCGTTATGCCATTATTTTTGTGCATAGCATGACAGTGTATGGCAAGAGCACAAAACAGTAATTTTCCATTATTTGTTGTTTGTTGCAGTACAAACAGTGCATTTGAAATAATAATATGTTGCCTGTCATTGAATAAGGTGGCACGAACAAAGAATGATAGCTCCATTCCTTTAGTGGTAGGTGAAATGGACTGATTGCCTGTGATCTTCATAACAATAGTATTCCAACAATTGCACATTCTGTGCTGCCAACAGATTGAGAACAATGCCGTTGGTGCTGCGATCATGGCGCCAGTGGATCCAGCCAGTAGTGATGCTGCTGTATGGCATCATCCTGGTGATCTGCCTGCCGGTACTGGTGGTTTACATGGAGCACGCCGGCACACGCATCAAGTTCGAGGCATGGCTGATCGGCAGCGTGTTCGCCTTTCTCACGCTCCCCATCGCGCTCTGGGAGATCATCATGCACCTGGTCAACTACACCAAGCCGCCGCTGCAGCAGCGCATCATCCGCATTCTGTGGATGGTGCCCGTGTACACGCTGAATGCCTGGATGGGCCTCACCTTCCCACACTACACCATCTACTTCGACCTGGGCCGGGAGTGCTACGAGGCCTACGTCATCTACAACTTCATGATGTACCTGCTGATCACGCTAAACGAGCACATGGACCTGGAGTCGGTGCTGGCCACGCGCCCGGACCTGGCGCACATCTGCCCCTTCTGCTGCCTGCGACCGTGGCGCATGGGACGGTACGTGAGCTGGGGCGCGCCCGGCGCCGGCCGCGCGCGGCGCCCAGACCCGGCAGCTGGTGCTTTGTCGAAGGAAAACATGCTGACTCATTCCGGCCAGCTGTGTGCGCATTTCGAGAGGTGGCCGCGGCTGTCCGGCCTTTCTGTCGACGTGTTCTATAATGCACGAACGCTCCAAGGCGTTCGAGGACTATTGAAACTGGGCCATTTGCTGCAGGTTGGTCTGACTGCGCGTTCATGTGCGTCCTCCGTGTGAGCAGGCGTGTGCCAATCGTTACCCGAGCTTCAACCCGTGCCTGCCCTGTTTCAGGGAGCTGGTCCAGCGGTGCAAGCACTTCATCTTACAGTACACGGTGGTCAGGCCGGTCACCTCCTGCATTGCATTGTAAGCTGCGCTTGAACTGGTCTGGACACGTCATTGTTGCGATTTAACATCTCACAGGAAAGCCTCTGGGTGTGAAGTGACCCGATACATTCGGTTTTTAAGGAAAATGGCCGGGATTGGCTGCATGCTTAAGAAAAGAATATAGAGCAGCCACAGTGGCTGGTTTGGTTCGAAGCGTCATAATTTCTGTTTTACTTTCGGATAGATTACACAGCTGTCAAAACCTGCCCCTCCCCGCACCATGATTCCATGCTGGGACAACACGTGAAGTAGGCGGTTGACATGATCTCTTACACGTTAAGTTGGTCTCCAGCGTGATCCATGCATCCACCAGTGATCCGTACCCAGCAGTGAGCGCGGCCGCCAGTCACGCTTGTCGTGTGTTTCCAGCGTGGCCAGCCTGTTCGGCGCGTACGGCGAGGGCACCTTCGAGCCGGACAGGCTGTTCCTGTACGTGGCGCTGGTGAACAACATCAGCCAGCTTCTGGCCATGTACTCGCTGGTGCTCTTCTACCGGGCCACCCGCGAGTTCCTCAAGCCGGTCAGGCCGCTGGCCAAATTCTTAGTCATCAAGTGCGTCGTCTTCTTCTCGTTCTTGTGAGTTGGTCGGTGGGCTGAGTTACCTTTCCTAGCTTTGTCGCGTTATTGGGTTGAACCCATTCTTTGCCCCTCAGCTGTGATGCCAAATTGCATGAAATGTATTTGACGCATCCTACGGACTACCACCACACACCTACCTACCTGTAAGTACGGCAGCAGGACGTCTGTTGCAACCATAGCATTTGAAAACGCGCATCGGCTTACAAAAAGAACAGACGTTTGACATTTTCGAGCTGGAACACCCGAAATGTGCTAACGCAACCATGGGACCCATGATGGGTCGTTTTACGCGGAGCCTAGCCTCTGCTAGACATTGCCTACCTGTGAAGACAGTTTTGACCGAGTTCCAGCACTATTATCACCTTAGTTCCCCGCAGCTGTAACTGGAGCGTGGCTGTGTAGCTCGGGCTCGTTTTGCCTTACTGTGTTGAACACCATGCTCGCGTCCGTTTTCCAGCCAGGAGTTCATCATCAGCGTGCTGGTGTACGCCGGCGTCATCTCCACCTGGTTCGGTGTGCAGGACGCTAGCGACGTACACGTCATCTCTGAGAGCATTCAGGTATACCGCTCCCAGGATCAGGTCGCCTGCATTGAGGTATACCGCTCCCCGGATCATGTCGCCTGTATTCAGGTATACCGCTCCTCGGATCAGGTCGCCTGCATTCAGTTATACCGCCCCCCAGATCGGGTCGCCTGTATTCAGATATACCGCTCCCCGGATCGGGTCGCCTGCATTGAGGTATGCTGCTCCCCGGATCAGGTCGCCTGCGTTCAGGTATACCGCTCCCCGGATTGGGTCGTGCGCTTTTCATATACTCATGGATGGCCAGAGAGGTTTGCTCCGACACTTAAGTGCTGTGGGGCGAGGTGCGCTGCTGTGACGCAACTGGCCGCGGCCGCGAAACAGTAAATGTGAATAACCGAGATGTCCGCCATGGCATCGCTCTGTGATCGGAGAACTTCTAAACGATGTAATGGAAACACTCATTGCAACGATGGCTTAAGTTTGATGATTTCATTTTTCTTTCCAATGTCAACGTATATGTAGATTTAACGTGTTAGTTTGTCTGCACGAACTAGCGGACCGTGTGCTGTTTTGGTCCAATTCATAATAAGCGCGATGGCGTCAAACGTGCGCACGTTTCTCGCTCGATGACCAATATTGAATACAGCATGCCCTCTTGCAGTATTCCGCGAATCGAAAACAACGCCATGGCGCATTACCAAAAAGTGTCCGATTTAACGCCGGGTCGGGCTGCAGCGAGATTGTCCTTTGGGACCTCATCTCATGCCTGGCAATGTCAGGATCGGAGTGGTCCATCTTCAACGAGGCGTGCTTCATACCCCACGCGTTGTGTAGCTGCCTTACCAGGCGCTGCTCGACTGCTGGCACGAGAGGGCGTGCGCCAGCACAGCTCGGTTGCGCACGGCACTAATCGCCGCACCGACCGTCTCGCAGAACTTCCTGATCTGCATTGAGATGCTGCTGGCGGCGATGGCGCATATGTACGCCTTCAGCCACGTGCCGTACCGCGACCCGGACGTGTACCAGGGCGACTGCTGCGCCGCCTTCCGCAACATGTGGGACGTCAGCGACGTCAGCCAGGACGTCAAGGAACACTTCAGCGTCGTCGGTGAGTGCGGGCGGCTGGGGTCGCACCCGCGGTGGTGCCGGCCGGCCGCGGAGGGGGGGGGGGGGGGATGCGGTCTGTGGCGGCGCCGCTGATGCTGGAACATGCCGTGAGAGGTCCACCCGTGCCGCACGAAGCCGCGTCTCAGTCATGTACCGCGGCCATATGCCGGATGGTGCTTATTTGTGAGGTTCTAAGATTGTCTGAACCTAGTTATACGATTCTCTGCACGTTGGAACAAAGGCGAGGGAGCTTCAGCCTCGGCCATCTTGACCGGGAGCACTGCATGGCTGTGTATGGTCGTCTATGTCTCGAATGTAGCCACTCGTAGTTTAGCTGTGTGCATTATTAAATTCAGATAGAAATAATTCCAAAATTTCAATTTGATTTCTGCATTTTTCACAATGGTCTTTTTATTTTCGGGTCATGTTGCCAGGCATGAGTGGGTGGCTTCAACACTGGGCTTTTTCAACCAAAAATGGACTTTCAACCAAAAAGTAGCAAATCTGGATGACAAAAGTCAGAGATGGTCTTTTTTATAAACACTGGTTTTAGAGACTGGTTGTGGTCTAGTACGCACAGTTACTGTAAATGTGCCCATCGATGAGCCCTTATTGAAACAGGGAAGAATTTCCAGTTTTATAGCTGTATACTATAGTGGTATCTCACCAAAAGCATGCGCATTAACACGCGCTCGGGTGGGGGCCAATTCCCCCCTCCCCCCCCCCCCCAGAAGGCTATTTTGGAATAGTTTCCGAACGACGCGGTGTAGCGGCACCAATTTTGGCATAGCTGTGGACAGTTGATTGGCGGATCGTTTAGTATCAAATGTTTAGATGTACTTGGTAACGTCGCTGACCTACGGCGTCGGTCAGGCCATGGATTCAGCGAAGTCAGTTTCGAGGGAATTGTTGAATTTGACGCAACAACAGAGTGTTAGACGAAGCCATACATCTCTGAGATACTTTCTCAGGCAGCACAAGTATAGACGGAACAAATTTCATTGATCTAAGGTTAGGTATAAAGGACAGACCAAGGTCAAAACCAACCTGTTTGGTTGCTCAAAGGGTTGCTGTATGGGGTGGTTTCTGGTGCTTATTTTGAATTTAGTGATAACAGGAGTCCCATTACATATCTTTCATAGACTTGTTTAAAGTCAGAATAGGCCACTGACCTAAAATGACTCGGGTCATCATTTCGTTTCTGGGAATTTGCTGTCTAGTGTGATCTTTGTTGCTTATCCAAATGCAAAACTCAAAGGAGTCCTGTATGATTGTTGAATTTGACGCAACAACAGAGTGTTAGACGAAGCCATACATCTCTGAGATACTTTCTCAGGCAGCACAAGTATAGACGGAACAAATTTCATTGATCTAAGGTTAGGTATAAAGGACAGACCAAGGTCAAAACCAACCTGTTTGGTTGCTCAAAGGGTTGCTGTATGGGGTGGTTTCTGGTGCTTATTTTGAATTTAGTGATAACAGGAGTCCGATTACATATCTTTCATAGACTTGTTTAAAGTCAGAATAGGCCACTGACCTAAAATGACTCGGGTCATCATTTCGTTTCTGGGAATTTGCTGTCTAGTGTGATCTTTGTTGCTTATCCAAATGCAAAACTCAAAGGAGTCTTGTATGATTTAGGTCACCATGACCTTTGAAAGGTCAAAAAGGTCACTGACCTTAAATAAGCATGTGAATTTTTTCCTAGAACAGGCATTTAGGTTCTGGGGCACTTTCGAGAGCAGCTTGGAGTTTGACCTTATTTGACCTTATTTGACCCGAAGGTAAAGATCCAGGAGCCTCAAACGCTGACCTAAGTGAGTTCACGTACAGGCCAAGGTACCCTGTGAATGTGGTGTCGCCAGCTCTTTTAGTTTCTCAAATATCAGTGGGTTCAACTTGACCCCCCACCCGAGCAAAGGGCACCCAACCGGCCACCCGGGCGCGCGTTAAGGGAAAATTCACGCTCTGGTCCCGTCGTCTTGGATGAACCGTACTTTGCGTGTGACTCCAATGTTCAAACATAGCTGTACGGACCATATGTCGACCGAACGAGCGTTGATCAAGTTCCGGACGTAGTTAACTTTATCTGTGCGTCTGTTCGTCACTTTCTGTCTCCGCCCGTACGTCAGCCAGTTATCCTCTGCGGGCTGTCCTTCAGACCTGTGTGTCTGTCCGTGTGCCGGTCGGTCGGTCGGCCCGTGCGCCCGTCCGCTGTGACGTTCCACCGCCGTTACAGGCAGCTCGGTGGCGCGCCGGCTGTCCCGACGGCCGGCGCGCCACGCCTCGGGCGAGCGCGCCCCGCTCCTGGACGAGTCAGCCCCGGACGAGGAGGAGGCCCAGGCCGCCGGCGGCGCGCCCTACACCGAGCTCGACCGCTAACGTCCGACAGGGTCGCCGGGGTCTGGACCGAGCCTAGCGCAGCCGCCACTCAGCTCCGGCGGCTGACCGTCCGTGGCGGCGAGCCTTCTTCGATGCGCCGTAGGATGTCTGGCGGCGACCTGTCTCCGATCCGCCTGAGAATGTCTGGCGGCGAGCCTTTCCCGATCCGCCGAGGATGTCCGGCGGCGAGCTGTCTCCGTTCCTCCTGAGGATGTCTGGCGGCGAGCCTTTTCCGATCCGCCGAGGATGTCCGGCGGCGAGCTGTCTCCGATCCGCCTGAGGATGTCTGGCGGCGAGCCTTTTCCGATCCGCCGAGGATGTCCGGCGGCGAGCTGTCTCCGATCTGCCTGAGGATGCCTGGTGGTGAGCTTTCTCCGATCTGCCGAGGATGTCCGGCGGCGAGCTGTCTCCGACCTGCCTGAGGATGCCTGGTGGTGATCTTTCTCTTATCTGCCGAGGATGTCCGGCGGCGAGCTGTCTCCGATCCGCCCGAGGCTGTCTGGCGGCGAGCCTTCTCCGATCCGCCCGAGGATGTCCGGCGGCGAGCCTTCTCCGATCCACTCGAGGATGTCTGACCGATGGTGAACAAGCGACTCTGGGACGTGGAGTGTAACTTGTGTCAATGAGGTGGGACACAACTTGGGGGGGGGGGGGGGCGCTCCGCTATGTAACCGTATGCTGGTATTATGGAGAAAATTTACATTTACGCGTTTACTTTCACTGTACAACCACGTGGACCTTGAATAAGCACCAATGTTATGTAGAAGGCTGCACCTGGGGTGCGCTGCAGATTAGACAAGCACTAGTGTGTTATCTTAGCGACCTACGGTGTAGTGAGAGACTAGTTAACCCGAATGTAACACGAGTTGCGATTGCGCAGTCGTGTTATGTTCTTCGCTCGTTATTAGGCCTGTGATGGGCAGACAGGGCATGACATTCCATATGTGTTGAAGTGGACCGAAAAGCCAAAAATGTGGCTTTATCGTGGTATAGCGGTGCGATGAATCACAAAGTACTGTACACCCAAGTGCGTGGTGCTTTATTGTCCTCGGCGGGCTGTGCTGCGGACGGTGACCTGATATAAGTGAGAATATCGGAGAAAAGCTGCGATGGCGGCTCTTCCGTGGTGTGATTAGGCCTCGCTTGCTGCGCTGTGTAGCGAATGTGATAATGTTGAGACAAGTCTCAAAGCCTTCAATACAAAGAGGACCTGAACCTGTTACGTGATGCGCTAGATTTGTGAACCTTGATTGAAATGAATATGTGCCATTGAATACACACCGAACCAACTTTGTGCGTGTTTGTGGCTAGGGCGTAAACGCGTAGTTCGTTTTAGTTGCCCGTTTGCAATATTCTCGCAATGGTGGTCATGTTGGCGAACCTGAGAGGGTGATAGCTCAGGATAGGTTATTACACGGTCCTATCCGCCATGGATGGTCAAAATGCCGCTCTCCTGGATACAGCACACTGAGAGCCGGACCAGCGCAATGGCTAAATGCCAGCAGATTCATTTTGCGGACCTCATCATCCAGATTCCACATTGACTAAAAACAACGCCGTATTCCTTGGATCGATCAGGTGAGTTCCGCCTCGGCTGTAAGGGGCTTCTTCAGCATGTCTTTTTACCATTACTCTGGTGTGGAGTGAATCACAGCGCATTTTCACGGATGCGTCGCCCCCCGTAAACACCTGGACATCAGAGCATCGCCGATGTGACCCCGTCACCCCGTGTATGATCCCTTGATATCGCTCCTCTTCACAGAATGCGCGGAGTTAGTCACCCCTAAATGCTGCATAACAGTTAACAGGCTACCGGGGTCACTCAAAGCGTACAGAAATCAGAGTATTGTGACTAAAGTTTGATTATGAGAAAACAGGTAAAAGTCGTTACCAGTGCTTACCCGACTGAACTTTGACCTCCGCCATATGGGCACTGATTGGTAGTCGTTCACTAATCAGGCGTTTGAAGTCACTAACGAGTTGGCGGCAACGCTTCGCATACGCCTACGGCATGAAGCATGGGGCTCCAGAAGTCCTAGCCAGTTGGAGCTTGTTTTCCGCACGAACCTGGCTACAGGTATTCCGCTGGATTAATGACTTAATGAACGCATTTTTGCGACCAGAAACGATCCAACGATTCCTTACAGGAAGGGTTTAACAGGGGTGAAACCAACATAAATCTGGTTCATCAAAAGCTGTTTTTAAACAGGGATGATGTACGTTCCTGACCAGCAAGCATGCCATATCAGACACGTCTTTTTGGGTGCTCATGGGTGCATTCAAGTTTTGATCCAGACGTTGACATTCTCCTTCGCAAAGAACAGGGTTAACCAAAACAGGGTGAATGTACAGAAAGTTGTTCCATTTTCTCCCACTCATGTCACACTGCTTTTTCACCGCGTGGCGCGCTTTAAACCGGTCATTCTTCGAAGGTCAGTTGAAGGAGAAAGGTACCGTCAAACACGACGGCTATTCCATGGTACCGTAAGGTAAGGTGGGGAGACCACGCTACTCTTGGAGCGTCGCGGTTTTGAAGTCCTATAGCGATATCATTATATCAGAAGGAAGCTTAGTTCTCAAAAGGTTCGATGGCCAGTCCAGGAGACGTCGCCTTGCTTTTTCATTGTGCGGAGTCCAAACATGAGTGCAATCAAACATTAAAATGTCCATCTGCATATGAGGTAGAGCAAGAATGTAAGAGAGGACTGGGTTGTTGCGCGGCATGGATGAAATCAATCGTTTATAATTGGAGAACTTAAAGCTGAAAAGGGAGTTTCTCCCTGAGAATGCGTGGGCCATCCGGCCCCAGTTCTCGCGAGCGAACACAGGAAACAAAGATGCACCCGTGAATATTCATGTTACGGTGTTGGTTGACTTCGTTCTTTCTCTTTGAGGATCAAACTTTCGATCTGGGGAAAAACCCTCGCACATTCATGACCAGCGGCGCTTTGTACATACAGCTCAAAAATCAAAACTCGAAACTCGGCACTGCATTTGCATATGAATGCGTCGGTGGCTTAACGACTGTTATGTGAGAAAGTTTCATGTGGACCAACTTTAAACCGGCCAGGTCTTCCCACCCCATGCTTTCGAGCATAATGCTGATATCGCCCACCTGAGCAGAACGCCATAACAGCACACCTTTTCCAGTGTCCTGTGTGCATTTGCTGCCCGCGCAATGAACGCGTTCTACGGGCTTTGAGCCATGTAGTCTTTCATGAAAGTAGGTCGGTATTGCTCTCAGCCAAGAGCAAAACCCTCTTTTCCGTGCCATGTATCTTTCCAAAACATGCGACAATTTTTCGAAGCGTCATAATGGAGGTCATGCGAATGTTTTTTTTCAGTGCCTACATTTTATACGTTTAAAAGGAAACATAAAGTGCATTATTATCCAAGCATGATCTGTTATTTTCTAACGCAACGCTTTATTTTCACGGCGTTCAACCTGCATCGCTGTAGAGTAATACATCCATGATCCTTTCGATTTCCTCTAAAGTGTAAAGATGCGTTGCTAGAGCATCGCACCGATCTTCGAAGACATCCCCCGAGGCAGTGACAGCTGTGACCTCCAGATGTCAGCACTCCTACCATCAATGTCCGTCACCTCGTATGTGTCCCAGCAAAATCGATGTACTAGCAATAATGCCACGTCCGAAAGCTTGTCATTCGAGAGGTGATGAACGTGTCTAACCAAAATAGTTTGTTTAAACCGCACCTCAGAAGTGTTTACAGCGGGCTGATATTATATTCCAATAAATTCAGTCTTACCCTATTTTTTGCCTCTTACAGCGTATTATTAAAGTCGCTGGACACATAGCCTAGCTGGTACTGATCTTACACACTTCCAGAGCCATTTAAGGAATGTAGCACAGGCCTCTTCGGGACATCGGTTACATAGTCTTGCCCTATTTTCTGACAGCTGAAACGAATTAGAACGGTTTTATTTTTCAGATTTTCAACAATGACCTCTCGCCAGCTCTATGCTCGCATATCCTGCGTTGTGTCCCAAACTGAGTGTCGTTCTTAATCAGACGGAAATAACGCATTAGATGAAATAGGTTTAAGGATCTGGCGGAACAGGTCTGGCATCAATGCCGCCACCTTTTGAATGCTTTGTTTAGCGCCCTGTGGTTCAAGTCGTCCGAATCAGAGGGTTTTGAGCGTGCCATCATTGTTTGGTGGGTGGATTTCCGACCGCTGATGGCGCCAGCACAACAATGCTGATACCCATTTTACTGTGGTTCGGTTATTAAGTGATTATACTGACCTGGTTTGACCTGTGCGGGGAAAACGATTCAGCGCCTCGCGCGACATTACCGGGAATTTTGTGACACGACCGTACGCATACCCTGATAGATTTGGAACAGGTCGGCTATTTTGTTCTAAATGAGCATCTTGAACCCCTACCTCTGACAAAACATCCAGCTTTATCGATTTCCGAGAGACTCATCTCTAACGAATAATCAAATCCTGCGGCAAAATTTGGCAGAAGTCACGATAAAGCCGACAGAGAACTACTGCTCCGCCATCTCAGAACTCATATCACTACCACAGCCATCCCCCTCCCCCTCCCCTCCGACTCGTGACGCCGCCCAGCGTTGTCTATTTTTACGCACCTATCCGAATCGGTTGCCAAGGTGCGGCCCTCCCCCCTCCCCTCCCTGTCAGGCAGGTCTGGCACGTCAGCTGAGGAGTCGACAGTTGTCAGCTGGGCTGGCTGTGACGCGCGGGCTGCTGGGCAGAGGCTGTGCGGATGTAAACTTTTACGCTGCCTCCGGGGACGTTTCCTCAGCTGGAGGCGAGAGGCATGGTCAGTTGTAGCCGTGTTTGAGATTGTGAGGGCTATCTGATGTTTGGGCAGGGACGGACGCGATAACGCGGGGTAGCACTACGAACTTGGCGGGCGGGCAAACTTTTTTCGCGGTGCCTCCCGTGCGGCACGACCACTCCTGGCCACGCACCATCGTTTCACAAATGGGGCGTTCTCTCCTGCACGAAATTTCCTGCCCACACACCATCGTTTCATAACTGGGGTCTTCTCTGCAGCCCGATCATTCCTGACCACACACCATCGTTTCATACCTGGAGCCTCCTCTCGATCATTATGTTATCATCGTTATATATTGTATCATCGTTATATATATTTTATGTTATACATTACGCCATCGGTCATGGCCGGGCTTCCCAATCCCATCATTATCGCAAACCACTCTCATTTGCTCATAATGTCTCCGGAGGCGCCACTTTCAAGTTTATGGCGGATACAAAGATATGCTCACCCACCTCACCCAACGACAAGATGGACGTCCGCCTTTCCTAACCGCGCGGTGGCGCCGCCTCTGCCAGATAAAATATCAGGTTGCATCCCGATATTTGAAAGAAAAAAATTTGGACGCGACGGTCACGATCTGTCTACGTTCTCGATAATGAACTGGTTCTGTCCGCGTGGAGAACATTGCTCACACGCAGGCTAAGTGGATGCTCGCCCAGCAAAAGTCCACAAACACTTCGTATTTACTCAGAACTTAGCACAGCATGTGGCGCACTTGAGTCGCATGCTCTGACAAGTTTTCTCATACTTTCTTGTTTGTTCCAGCCACGTTACAGCACTTCATGGAAGCCGGGCGTTTTTCACAGCCTGGCATAACTCCCAAACTCTTAGCTACTGAACAGAAAAGTTATGTAAGTTGCTAAACGCATTTGCGAGGAGCATTATGCATCGCCGCACAGCCAGTTCCACCAGTTTTCGAATGGCATCCCAGTGCTGACGTGACGCACATCCCGACCTGTCATATGACCCAGAAAGCCCACCAGTCAAAACGGGTCCCGTGACTTCAAAACCTTACGAGATGCCTAAGTCATGAAGACTGCTGTCCTTGAAGCACGGCGTTAAGGACCCGTCCCGATCAGATGCATTCATAGTCCTCCGAGAAACGTGCTACCGAACACTTTGTCGCTGTTCAAGGCATCAACTTGACCAGGGTGCTCACGAGATGGCGAATATCGATGTAATGCTTGTCAACCTCTGGAGCTTATGATTCCTGATACCCCAGTGGAGTATCTGGCTTGCCTGATGAACTTAGGGCTGATCCGGGTACACAAGTGCTATTTTAAAGAAAATCGAAAAGATCGCGGTCATATGACCGCCGTCATATAATGCGGAGATTCAACGGAGCAGCGGCCCGTGCTCTTCAAAAACTTCTCGCTACGAAATGCGTGCAAATTGTAGGTCTCTTCTCCTGGTTTCTTAGCCCCTCTCTTCCTTTTATGTGCATGCATGCGTTGTACGCACAGGCAGGGTAGTGCCGTATATCGCACGGGCTGTCACACAGTGGTTCTGTTTCCTTCATGCTATCAAGCTTTTCAATCCAACGGCAAAACGTTTGGAAATGACCGCAATAAAATCAAAGCAATGTATGTCATTTTCAAGACAGCGAGGGGCTGATAGTTCAACACATCTATGGGGCGATACGCAACTTCCAAAGGGAAATTAAGTATTGGCTGGCCTACTTATGTTCTTTTTAAATAATTTCCGTTCGTTTCCGTTATCATGAGATTATGTTATTCAGGGTCCCGAGTGCTAATCGCAAAAGATCACGAGTGCACGAATGGCACAGTTTTTGACATCGTGTGGGTTTCGTGCAATGCAGGATCACCCCGCTCCTCTTGTCAACTGCCGCATCCCACGAACGCGGGACGGCCGTGTTTGCTGCACCTCCTCCGCAGGCAGCTGCCAGCCCTCCTCCATTCAAGTATTTCGGATCACGAACGTCCCCGCACATCCGACTGAACCGCCTCTGAGGAGATTCAGAGCCACGCCAAACTGGCTTTCCACAGATCCAAAACCACGCCAAGCCGGCTTTGCACGCGGAACCAAAGCCACGTCAAGCTGGCTTTACACACAGATCCAAACCCACGCTAAGCCGGCTTTGCACGCAACAGTGCATAACTTTTAGATGGGAGCTCAGCGTCACTTACCAGCGTTACCTCCCCGCCCTTAGCGCGCACTCCGCAATTAGGTAACAACGCATAAACGGCACGAGGCAGCTAAACCACAGAACCAGGTGAAGTATTCTGTTCCTGGGGTAGGAGAAGTCCCCCGAGTGATAACGCGGAGGCACCCCGCTCCAGTCCATCCAGGTTCTGATGTAGAGGTGAGCGCCCGCGACGCCTCTTCCCCCGCCGACACAAACACGATGTCCTCCTCGGCGAAGCCCGTGTATTGCCAGCACGGATCCCGCCACATCACCCACAGTCACAAACCGCTGACAGCTTTGTATCAAAGGGCGCGGGCCCGGCCGCCAGCCCGGCCCCGCGCGCCGGTAACAGCTCTCGCTCACGCTCTCTCACTCCCGCGCGGCCCCGCGACCCGCCGCGCCGGCACCAGGAATAGCTATGGGGGGCAGCGGGCGCGTCTATCCTGAGGTCTGCTCCGCCAGCTTCTCGGCCTTCTCCGTCACCTCATCGATGTGGCCGACCATGTAGAAGGCCAGCTCGGGCAGGTGATCGTGCTTGCCGGCCAGGATCTCCGAGAAGCCGTCGATGGTCTGCTGCAGCGAGACGAACTTGCCAGCGAAGCCTGCGGTCGGGGGGCGGCATTAGCGGGGCGCGCCGCGACACGGCCGACCAGCGGCCCGGGCTCGGTGTGAGTCCGAGGGCCGTCAGCACGCGCCGTCACAAGCCAAGCATCGCGTTCCCACACCACAGGGCAGCACGGTCCCAGGGACGTTACGCGCCCATGTCGCGCCGGCGCCTGGGCATGCCGGGCACAGACCAGGCCGAGGCGGCCCCGTCCGCCGGCCGGCTCCCGCTCACCTGTGAACACCTCGGCCACCTGGAACGGCTGCGAGAGGAAGCGCTGGATCTTGCGCGCGCGCGACACCGTCAGCTTGTCCTCCTCGCTGAGCTCGTCCATGCCCAGGATGGCGATGATGTCCTGGAGCGACTTGTGGTCCTGCAGGATCTTCTGCACGCCACGCGCCACGCCGTAGTGGTGCGCGCCGATCACGTTCGGGTCCATGATACGCGAGATGGAGTCGAGCGGGTCGACGGCCGGGTAGATGCCCAGCTCGGCGATGGCGCGCGACAGCACGGTGGTGGCGTCCAGATGGGCGAACGTGGTGGCCGGCGCCGGGTCCGTCAGATCGTCGGCCGGCACGTAGATGGCCTGCGGGTGCGGCGGGGTCAGCGGCAGGGTCTCGCCGGACGAACACGACGCCAGGACAAGGCGATCCGTGTCGGATCCACGCAGCCAGCCGATGGCACACGACGGCAGATGGTGCACCACGACGTTAAGACAAGCATATGACTTATGTGTAGAATAAATCTCCACCGCAAATGTATGTGTGTGCAGCGTCAGTAATACATGCGGCGCCCCACCCCGACCAGCGTTGCCCGTGGAAGCATCCGAGTGCGGAGCTATGTCGCCGCGCTTGGGAGCGCAGCAACCATCCACAGCTGTTAGCAGGGCCTGGTCACAGCAGTCGCCGCCGCCCCACTTTCTGCACGGTTTGGCCACGGCTACCGCCAGCCTGCGGTAAGTCCGGAGGCTGAACCGGCCGCCGGCGTCAGCACACCTGCACGGAGGTGATGGAGCCCTTCTTGGTGGTGGTGATGCGCTCCTGCATGCTACCCATGTCGGTGGCCAGTGTGGGCTGGTAGCCGACGGCCGACGGGATGCGGCCGAGCAGGGCGGACACTTCGGAGCCCGCCTGCGTGAAGCGGAAGATGTTGTCGATGAAGAGCAGCACGTCCTGGCCCTCCTGGTCGCGGAAGTACTCGGCCACCGTGAGGCCGGTCAGCGCCACGCGCGCGCGCGCGCCCGGAGGCTCGTTCATCTGGCCGTACACCAGCGCCACCTGGCGGCAGACGGCGGTGCGTTAGTGGGAGGCACACCAAGCGCAAAACGCAAAAGGACGAAAACGAGTAGTCCCTGCATCCAGTGCCATCAAACCGAAGAGACAAAACCCTAATCTAACAATCTTGCTCACACGAAACATCAGAAAAAACAAAACCCACAGTCTGTAAAACTTTGATTACATACAGCTGAGCAATGAGACACCAGCCAGAGCGTGCGGCTGCTTTCCACGCCACCGCTCATCACATCGTATGTGAGGCACTTCATGACACGCAGAGTCCACACCCCTTATCGAGGACGGACCGCTGTATGTGGCCGGCGACCGACCTTGGACGACTTGTCGGACAGCGAGATGACGCCTCCCTCGATCATCTCGTGGTACAGGTCGTTGCCCTCGCGCGTGCGCTCGCCCACGCCGGCGAACACCGAGTAGCCACCGTGCGCCTTGGCCACATTGTTGATCAGCTCCATGATGAGCACAGTCTTGCCGACTCCAGCGCCGCCGAACAGGCCTGCGACGGAGAACGGAGCGTTGGTGGCGGCGGCGCGCAGACCGACCGGCAGTCTTGCCGCGGGGCGGGGCGGGCACGTCACGCGCGGCAAGGACGGTCGCTCTTCGTGGACAGCACGGTGGAGTCCCACGTGATACACGACTATCTCTTAACAAAGTTCCTTCTGGCAGGTGGGCTGAATGACGGGGGAGTGCAGGAGCCCTACCCGGTCATCAGGCCACTGGGCCGAGTGGCGGGAAGGTGGCGAGGTGTCGGCAGTTCGGAGGGGCGGCTCAGGGGACGGGCTCCGGCAGCAGGCGGGACCACCCATGGTCTGATCCACGCACCCACACTTCCCAACAGGACGGCCAGGCGACACTACCACTTCCAAAGGAAACACGTCACGTCAGCGTACCAAAGTGATTATGGGCATTCGCGGCAACAAACGGTGGATGAAAGAACTCGCACGCAAAGGCTGGCCAATATGCAAGTCCGTTTTTCAGCATGCTTCGGAAGGTGCGTTTCACATTTGGGCACAGCGTTGGGTTTCCGCAGATGCATATAAACTCCAAGAACAGGTCTTGCTCAAAACAAGATGATTATGATCAAATTGCTCAGAAGTCCTGATAATCAGCTTGCTACTTGACCGGAGCGCGGGCCGCCACCCTGCACACATACCAATCTTGCCACCCTTGGCGTAGGGGGCGAGCAGGTCGACCACCTTGATGCCGGTGACCAGGATCTCCTGGGTGACGCTCATCTCGACGAATTCGGGCGCCTCGGCGTGGATGGCAGCCCGCTTGTCCGTCGCCACCGGGCCGCGCTCGTCGATCGGCTCGCCTGGCAAGACACGGCCGCCGCCCGGGTCAGGTCACGGCTCACCCCGTCGGGGCACACTGAATGCCATGTTGGATAACATGCGTCTGAGTTGTCTCAGGTTACCCTCAGTTCCCAGGTCATACCATCCAGTCACATGCCACTTTCAAAGCACAGCAAGGAGCATCCCACAACCAAATCCGAGACCCTAGTACACCATATTACATTATATATATATATATATATATATATATATATATATATATATATATATATATATACCAAGTGCTTTTAGGGTTGTGTTAACTACCTTGGTTGACCATTTGACCAGACCTGGTTAGATTACCAGGTTCAGTCACAGGTCGTCATGTAAACCTTCAAATGCATGGCTGTTAATTACTCCATTTTTTTCAGGTCAAATGTCTTGCAGGCAAGAGACCACACCCTCCAGTTAACAGTACCTTCTGGCCACAGTAGCCGAACCACGAACTGGGCATGGGACAATGTCACTACACCAGGGAATACCAGCATCCACAGACAGATGGCCAGCTATGCCTGAGAGTAGTGGGTGATGTGGCCTCACTTTCTGTACAGTTTGTCCACCTGTCACAGACAGCCTGTGGTAAGCTCGGAGGCTGAGTGGTTTCTATACTGCTCAATGGAAACCAAGCCAACAACCATGTTTCTCGTCAACATATGGGTGCCTTGCAGCGATGTGTACAACAACCAAACTATGGCCGGTGACCTCGACAGCACCTCCCTGCCCTTGACAGCACAAACGCATGTGAAACCAAACCATTTTTCACTTAAACACAACAGTAAGTACACCAGTGTTTGGCAGTCTTTATGTGACACAGTGAACTGGTCACAGAGGGGGGCCGGGCCGGTGCCAGCGCGGCCAGCGGGCGCCGCCTGCGTACCGATGACGTTGATGATGCGGCCCAGCGTCTCGGGGCCGACGGGGATCTTGATCGGGGACTGGGTGTCGACCACCTTCTGGCCGCGTACCAGACCCTCTGTGCCGTCCATGGCGATCGTGCGCACCGTGTTCTCACCTGCCGCACACGGGCACGCGAAGTCACACAGAGCGCAAGGCGCGACGGACCGGGTACCATTACCGGCAACAACTCCTGCGCATCCATAGCGGTTCAGAGAATGTTCGCTGATACGAAACACTGCTGGCATGCCATAGTGAGCATACACACTGGCCATCAGCTCACCCCTCACTAAACCCAGACAAAGTGCAAACTGACCAGCCAACAGCTCAGGGCACACAGGCCACATGCATAGGTTGACACAACACCTTCTTTAGGAATGATAACAAGTTATGAGATCGATGCCCAGCTTCCTGGCGTGATTTCACCCAACATCCCAAACCAAGAATACTGGGCGTGGGGTGTGCCCGTCCCCGGCGCACGCGCGGGCGACCGTCGACCGACGTACCGAGGTGCTGGGCCACCTCCAGCACGAGGCGCGGCTCGCGGTTCTTCACCTCCAGCGCATTCAGGATGGGCGGCAGCTCGCCCTCGAACTGCACGTCTACGACGGCGCCGATGACGGCCGTGATCTGGCCGCCGGGCGCCGCCGCCGCGGCTGGCGCAGCTGCAGCCGGCGCATTCTGCGACTGGCCTGCCAGCAGGATTATGAGTCAGCGCCAGCACCGTGACGAGGGTGGGATGGCAATGGGGCCCAGCAGGCATCAGCCTGGGCAGCATGGCGAAGGCTGTGCACATGCAGTTGTTGTCTGCGGAACCTGAATTACGTCTCATGTGTCAGATGCCACAGAGGTCAGCTGTGCTAAGTTAAGTATGCCAGCTCACATGATGTGACACAACCTACTTATATTTTCTCCTACTTTGCTCACATCAAAAGTAACACCACTCATCATTCATTACATGATGAAATGCCCTTTGATGGTGAATGGATTACCATTAATCAGCAAAGGCCATTTCTAACCATTTTCTGACACATGTTACAGTGAAAAACGCAAAACATTATTGGCACTCATATTGATGCACATCAGCAAGAGTGTAACACCCAGCATATTACTAGGTACCAGGGGTTGCATTATTCACCCATTGCACACAATGTCTTTATACTGGAAAGTGAAACCATCACAAGTCACAACTTATACAAACATATGAAATGCTCACTATCAACAAAAATGTTCTGGAGAATAATACAGTATAAGTCTACTTATTCGGACCTGGAATAAGGTAATGCAAAAAGCACATGTTGCAATATGTGTGGCCTGTGCAATTTCTATGGCATTAACTTTCTGCATGCTGCAAGCATAAAAATGTTAACTTATACTAAAAAGAACAAACTTTCACCTCATTCCCTCTTAATAAGAACAGGAAAGATAGCACACATACAGTACCAAAACTGACCAGATGACAAGATAGAGAGCTTATCATCAAGTTAGTTTATTTATTCATTTTGATAAAAAGTAATAAAGAAATCAAATGGCATGATGAAAATAGGACTTAGTAAACCATCCATGATATGCTGAGGTTTCACCATTGTGTGCGCCTGCCAGCACATCTGAAACCTGTGAAAATTTAATGACATGAAATACAGAATGCAAAAAGGGACCAAAGGGAAGTCTGTATCTTCATATCCATACAGTAACTATGAACTGTGTCCAGATGCTAGGACACAATGGTCATTCTTATGCATCTTTAATCAGACACTTTTCTTAGTGTCAGCAGTACTGGTATGTTTATACAATTATAAAGCACTCATGCTTGCTAGTCAACATCACATACTGAATTTTTTTCTGGGGGTGTTGGCTATTCAAATGAACATCTACATATTTTCTGGTAATGCAGCCTACCTAGCCAGATTTATACATTGAGAAATATTTAACTTGAAACACTTTAACGACATACAAATAAGTGTCTATTACCAAAATAAATATTTATAATATGCTCTAAAATGGCACCCTATGGGTTATCACATAATGCAAAACAAGGACAATTGGTTAACATCTGACAAATGTTAAATGACAATGATCATCTGACAAAAGGTGATCTCAAAACTTGTGAAATCCATGCTGGCACAGTACCCAATATTCATCACTGAGAACTACAGTGTGCTGAGCCTTATCCGTACTACTAAAGCTGGCCTCTGTCCCCAACATCGATTTCTTAGAACTACAATGTGCTGAGCCTTATCTGTACTATTACAGCTGGCCTTTCCTAAAAAAGTTTTGTTAAACTGGTAGTTCGATCTTTTTGAAGCTTCTGCAACTTCCATTCTCCTCCTGGAACTTTCAAAAAATCTTTCTCCTACCTAAATAGCCAACAAAATTGTCCCACATTTATCAACACCCAAAGTATCATGTGAAAAAACAAATATTTAAAAAAGAACTATTAGTTCACAGCTATTTTGTGACAGTGACCAAGTCTCCTACCAGTCAGCAGACATGTGCATGGATCTCATTGGTGACCCCAGGGTGCTACAGGGCCTGTCTACAAAAAATCTGTCCAATGCACCATATAACTAGATGTCATCTGTGCAATGAATCTAGTATAATCATGAATCAAACTCAAACCAGGCCAAAATACATGGCATTTTCACTTGGGAAGCTGCAATGCTACCATTCCACACAATATTTGGCATGACCTATTTTTGCAGTCTGGTCTTATTTCAATACTGATGGGATTCTAACATATTTCTACCAGGCTCTCAGTATATGCTGACCAGTTAAGACAGACTACTTTATGGATGAACCTGCTTTGCATTTTGATGTACCAAATGGTTGCAAAACATTCACTTACTGCTTATTTACATGTTCTGTCCTGATCAAAACAGGCTTAGTAAAACACTATTTGGACCTATTCACAGTCAAGCATTACAAGAATACTAATCACTTGTTCATTGCAGTGGCCAGAATGCCACCTCAACTGTTGCAGAGTAGTGAATGCTTATCACAAGAATCTAACCATTATGACAAATACTTCATCTTAGAATATAGCGAAGCAAGCATCAGATATGGTGGAACAAACCAACTGAGAGTTATTAGTATTTTTTAAAGGGTAAAGACTGCTCCAGACAGCATAATCCATTTGGTAACTGCATACCTCAATGCACCAGTTTGTTATCATACCTTGCACAACACTGATTGAGAGCAATTAATGGCTATTATACCTGGAAACCTCACTCACAAATGCCTCATATGAATGCCTCAACAATCATATTTCTCTTGGCCTAAATTGCTGCATGGCCTATAGAATGGCAGGTTTCAAATGATATTATTAGGTCATGAATGCCAAGGTGGCCACAAAATACCCTCTCTGACATAACTATTTCATTTTGATGAGTATGTTGCTCAGATAATAGCAATGCTTAAACCTTAAGAACAGCAGGAGTGTGAATAGCACCAAAAAGTCTTCAAGATGGCTAGTTCAGTCCAAAATCACATCCTCATGTGGAACACCCCCTTTAGCTTCATTCTCAGCAAACCAGGCAGAAAAATGAAATTTCCCACTGTATGGATCATTAAAGAAGCAAATAACAGACAAAATAAAGTATCTATGCCATGAAGAAAACGCCCAGGAGCCCAGAATAGCAGGTGCAGTACGAGGGCACCGGCTGCGCCACATTGGCAATGACAGCCTTCATCGTACCAATCTCAACAAAGTAAAAATATAATTGCAACACTTACCTGTGTGATAGAGAGCAGGGAGAACCTGCTTTTGGAAAGAATGAACGCTTCCGGCGGGCTTAGCCGCCTTAAGCGCAGAGGAGCAGACCCTTCCAACGGCGCCCAGCATCGTGGCAGAGATGCGAGGAGGAGAATGGTCACGTGACCACTGGTTTTCTCGCCAGCTGGAGCTGCCAAATATGCTCCCGACGTGGTAGAGACTCTAGTGCATACTGTGTAGTGGATAAGTCACGAGCACATACCATAGCCGTAGTTTTTCATGATTTCAGAACGACGACAGAGTTTGTATTCAATGCAGTGCCATCTGAAGGCATGAGATACGCTAATAACAGATGGTTGGAGCAAATTTTCGATTATGTAGCATTATATACGATTTTTGGGCGGTGTAGTGACCAAGCTAAGGGAGTGGATGGGGATTTTTCGCAGCCTTGGAGGTCATGCCGACCCCGCGGCAAGAATTAAAAAAGGTAAGCATCCCTACCTTCTACCATTTAGATACGTCGCAGAGCTTCTGCAGTACCACAAACGGATTTTTATGATATCAAGATGGGAGCTCGAGCCTACAAAGACCCCAGTAAAAACAGGGACCTTATAATGACAACATCAGGCTCGCTGGCTGTTTGGTGTGACCGTCGGGAAGCAGAATATAGCGTTAAAGGATTGATACAGCTGCACAATGCTGTACAGCACGGCAGCACCTGTGATATCACGTCCGCCCCCGCTGCTCAGTTGGTTTGGACACCTGCATTCCACCCAGTGCCGATGGACGGGAGGGTGGGTTTGACCCGATTCCGCGCTCGCTTTTTGTCTGGCAGTGATAGCCCGTAGTCATTGGCAGCGGCCATTCAAGGCCAGACAATACCAGAGGGCGGGACAGGCCGTGCCCAGCACTGCAGCAAAGTTAAGCGTTCACCACAAAATCTACCCAAAATCTGTCCTGGAATACCACGATCGGGTTGTGACGTCATAGCTCACGCGAAGCAGAGCGTGATGGTGAGCCCCGGCCCCACCACCCGGCCATCAAATTCTAGCGCAACGGTACAATTTTGCGACGAAGGTTTAAGGTGCCGCAGCGCTGGGCACGGTCCGCCCGCCCTCTGGGCTCATATGACCTTCAGCAAGCTATGCCCTCGAAATAAATCCAGTCAAAGTGTCCGAACTAATTTAAAAAGGTGTGTGCGACCACTCAACTGTCGGATATAAACTGTACTGCTGTTACTGTGGGACTGTTAGATGGAGCCCTAAGGACGTCACTGTCTGTTGTGACGTCACTGTCTCTGTTTTGCCTGTTGCGCAAGTGTGACGTGGTGACCATCGCACTTTTGCATATGCTCACCCAAGTGCGACTGCCCGACCGTTGACACGGTTGCGTCAATGTTACCGACCATGTGTTCGATATTGTGGCACAAGCGTGTGGCGGTCGGGGTTTCAAATACAGTTCGCACTGGTGTGACGACCAGGCTATTGCATACGTTGCGAAAGTGAAACCACCAGATTCAGAAGCGAGGTTTCGCAAAATATGTTTGGGGGGGGGGGGCGCTGAAAGTGAAAATTGACGCAACCTACCTCCAAAAGAAAGAAACAAAGGGATTTCTTCCCTGATTTCGCCTATTTTCTATTTAAAATTGGGAGGAGGGCTGAAAGCCACCAACTGAATAGGAAACTACACCCCCGACCAGACTGTTGGATGCGAATGCACGAGTACAACGGCCGGACCGATAGCGCGCTTGCACGAGTGTGTACGCCGGACAGCTGAATGTGACTGCCCAAGTACGTCTTGGAACAATTAGCTTAAGATTTGAACTTCGCCGTATCGCATTTGATGACCTTGTTTTCATTCGATCACGGTCAAAGACCACTGTCGTGTCACTCTTCGGGACCGCGATTTGCCTCATGCTACTGTTTCGTGGATTCACCGGTGTTCAGACTACTACAAACAACTACCAACATATGGTAGCTCTGAGTGAAGAAGAAAGTTCCCGGATGCTGAAAAGAGCGACATTTTCCGTGGTACACAGGAACTCATTTAATCCGAGATGTATGCAAATGTTTTAATTGTGTTTGAAATGCACTTTTACCCTTGAATACCTTATCATTTTAGTTATCAAGTAAGAGAGTATTTTATAATAATTTCACAGACTGGCCAAAGTTTCATCTGGTTTAGTTATGCTTAGAATGAGTCCGAACATCCATTTTTTCATCGTTGATAGTCTGTTCGATTGATAGATTTCATTTCTGAAAGGAAAACAACTTAAAATTTTTGTTTGGGCAGACTGTATTACAAAGGCTTCACATGCAATTTTGCTTAAGATGATATAAGACATGTAGCTGTCACTGTTAGAGTTTATAGGCTGCAGTAGCCAAAAGATTTTGGAGACTTGATTTTTTATTCAATTATTTTTTCTCAAATCGCTGTAAGTTTATACTTATCTCTTAAAATTTGAGAGATTTTTCAGTTAAAAACCGGAATACGGAACTATCAGCTGATTTATCACAAGCATTGCATTCATATGGATCTGCTATCAGCTTGATGCGAGCGTGAAAGTCTGCATGCCAGTTGCTTTCTGCGCCATTTTCTACGATCATCTGGGTTCAAATACATATATCATTTGCTTGCGCCTGGGGTGGGATGGTATTCACTTGTTGTATCGAGGAAGCCTGTACCTGAATGATATTTTGAGACTTGTTCCATTTTTTTTTCAAAGCGTTCTTGCTGTATCTGCGGTGTTTCTGTGCGCCATGGCTGAGAGTGAAAAGAAACGGTAGTTTTATGAATCGTACTTTTGAGCTTGCTGGAAGATGAGATGATTTAAAAGGTAACAACCTACAGCTGGTTATCACTGAATCGTGCTTCTGCTAGTGCTAATTATGTGAATGCCATGCATATGGCATAACTCGACCTTGCCCACATTCCATTGGGGAAGTGCCAGCCTGCAAGCCATGGCAAACATGCCTACAAGATGTGTGGGTAATTACACACAGATGTAATGAACAGATGTAATTCAGTCACAAATAGGATGGCATTCTTTTCCATTACAATGAGGACACACATTGGATAGTAATCAATATCATTTATAGCAAAATTGTCAGGCTTTCTTCCCCTAAATCCTTGAACACCACCAGTTTGGTCATTTGGTGATATTAGAAGTTTTGTATAATGTGGATGCATGTTGCCCTTACTGTCAGATTTGGTTATTTGTGTCCACAGTCTTAACTTATGCCCAGCCTCTGCCCCAAAGAGATCATCAGTCTGGCATGGTTTGAGAGTTGGAAAAGTAGTAGAATCTGTCCCATGAATTTTATTGTCAGATAAAAAATTAAAAGAGAATGTCATTTGATTTTCACTGCCTATCTGCATACTTTTATGAATAAGAAGTGTTTTGCTCTAGGTCCTAGTAAACTAGCATTTGAATAGCATCACTGCACACCTGAGGTCATCACAACTGTTTCATGCATTGAAAAATGCACCTGAGTAAAGTGCATGCAGCTTGATATAAGCAGAAAATATCTTGCCAGGAGACTGGATTTGCAAAATCTAAATGTTATTTCAACTAATTAATGTGTACTAGTAAAAGCTCTGCCACATTAGTAAAAACAACCATTCTTTGAAAAAGTAAAACCAACTGAATGTTTAAGGTGGGAATCCTATTTAGTTATTCCATAGTAAGTTTAAATTTCAGATGCTATTATCCTTGCTAATATCAAAATCATCATGTAGTTTGGGAGTGAGGCTACCTGATATTTATCATACATTGCCTCCAAGGGATCAGATTGCTTGCTGGAGAAGTTGCACTGCATAGATCTGTCTCATATTATCAAAACATATATGTTATGGCTGAACCATTATCCCTTGTGTTGACCTTTTATGGCATGAGCTTAACCTGATCTCAAGTGAGAATTAATGCCAAACTGGCCTAACTACATGCCTGCAAGCACTTACACTTTGTTATACCCATTCATAGTCCTGGAAACAAATGCAATTTTACAGTATAAGGCTGTTTGTTCATAAACTTGCTTTGCCAAGCATTAGGACATTACTTATGCAGAATGTTGCATTTACTAGTGGCAAAGTTCACTTGGAGGGAATGCTGTCTGTTGTCCTGTCTGTAAATTCTCTAGCCCCAGATGTTACATGTTTGCCTTTGGCATGTTTTTGACCTGACCTTTGGCATCAAGATTATACTGAAGTGCATACCCCAGAAATGCCTGTTACAGAGTTTCAGTTGGCACATGGCAGACAGGACATTGTCCACTTTCCCCACTGGAAGTGTACTTGGTCATTGCCCCCAAAGAATTGTGCAAACCTGACCACCTGAGTATCACTCATCATGTTCTTATCTTTTAGTAGGTGCATTTACTCCAGCTCCAAGGTTTTTGAGTTCTTCAACTGCTTTGTGTTAGCAAACATTTTCTGTCTGGTTAGTATCAGCTGCTAATAAATTGCAGCCATATGAATGTGCAGTTAATGGGTACCCAGAGCCCAAGGAACCATCTCAGAATTTACTGTGTGGGGGCTGCCATTTTTATTCCTGTATTTTAAGGATTATGTTTTAGTATTGCAAGACAGGCATGCCTTAATATAAGTAAACTAAAGAACTGTAAATGTTTCTTGTGGCATGTCAGGGCCCTATATGACTGCACAGCTGAAGTACACTTAAGTCCCAATTACTACTATTGCATTATATATATATATATATATATATATATATATATATATATATATATATATATATATATATATATATATATATATATACTAGCAGTACATATATTGACATGGTACTTCTCATGCAGTTTTTCATGTAGTTTTCATTTGTTTTTCTTCTTACCTTTGGTTTACTTCTGGTGCCATCTATAGGTAACTGTCCTCTGATCTGTTGAGGTTATGCCATCTAAGATGTCAAGGCTATGCACCATTCAAACTATGCTGTATGATCGAAGAGGGCAACAAAAAACATATTCTGTTCTAGTGAATTTGGAAAGCAAATTACTTATGGTTCTATGCAATGCTTTCTACCTCAAGCATTGAGAAAGTTTGTATTACCAAATAATTCCTTCAGAGTAAGACATGTAGAGGACTGGAACTTGCCTCCTGATTTTTTTGGCATCCAGCTTTTTATGGATTTTTTTCCTTCATGCTGTAATGATGCAGTGATGCCTGCAGTGCTACACTGCCAAGAAAAGCACTGCATGGTGTTATTGTTGCTGCCATTTTTCAGACTTTGCAAAGCAAAACACTGTATGGTGGTGCTGGTGGTGCAAGGTGTGAGACTGCAGCACCAACACCACCATGAAATACCATCACCAGTTAGGCATTGGTCAATAATTTTCTGAGTGTCGTGACCAAGAATAAGATTATGATCAGTCATTTACAGTCTATTCTATGCACATCATGCAGAGAGGTCTGATTTCAATTCAACAATCATAATTTGCCGTAGCATTGTTGTGCTGCACACCAACTGTTTGGACACAAAATATGTGTGTGATGCCCAAGAAGACAAGGTAAAAGTCACTTTATCACAGACCATGAGCAGACCCTGAACTGTTGCCATCCAACTGTAGCAGCACACAGTCTGACGGCCACCTGGTCTGCTGGCAGTGTTCCGTCCAACGCCGCCATGATCCAGACGAGCATGCCGCCGCCGTCGACGCCGTTCCAGTACCACCCCGGCGGCGGCGCCGGCTCGGGCAACCCGCAGCCGCCGCACTTCCGCGGCTACACGCCGACAGTGTACAATGGCAAGCCCACCATGAATCAGGAGGAGTATGACGGCAAGCGACTCCGTAAGAGCTCCATGCGCAAGACGGTCGACTACAACTGCTCCGTCATGAAGTACATCGAGGTGGGTCAAATGGCCGAGACGGTGTGAAAGCGCTGTGGGTGTGCTCGCACGTGTCTTGTGTGCTCTGGGGATGTAGGGAGGACACCTGACTGCGCGCAATCAGTCACATTCCTGTTTGCCGGTCATGCGGGGCTGTCGATGATCCAACTAGGGGCCGTGCTGCTGTGCGGTGTCCGCCCCCGCTGACCCCCGCTGGCGCCGCCGCCCGCCTCCGACAGGACCGGCTGTGTCTGCTGCGGCGCCGTGGACCGGCCGGCGCTGCAGCCCGACGTGCTGTTCTACCCGGAGCTGCTGCCACCAGCCGGCTACCCGGACAACCCGATCAACGCCGTCACCACGCGCTTCGTGCGCACGGCCACCAACAAGATGCGCTGTCCGATCTTCTGCCTGGGCTGGACGCCGGAGGGCCGCCGCCTCATCACAGGCGCGTCGTCCGGCGAGTTCACGCTCTGGAACGGGCTCACGTTCAACTTCGAGACCATCCTACAGGTTAGCCGGGGCGAGCCGCGGCCACCACCGCCGTTTGCAGCCGTGCAGCCGCCCTCAGCGGGGGGGGGGGGGGGGGACGTGCCGGGTGATATTGCTGAGGTGCCAACGGCGAGATGATCATGCCGCACACTGGTTTGAGGGGGTGGGTTGCACGTGTCGTGGTGTGTGGTGCTGTGTGGTCGTTCTGAGCCGCTCTCCGTGCCAGCTAAGAACTGGAGCGGTGCTCGTGGCCGGCGGCTTTGGCCGCGCTCTCGTCCGCCTCTGTCGAGGACGCCGCTCGGCCTCTCTCGGCGGCCCGACGCCGCCTCCTCCGGCCCCGCTGTGTGCCCGACGTAACCGAGCCCGGCCAACCCGGCAGGCGCACGACAGCCCCGTGCGGACCATGGTGTGGTCTCGCAACGACCAGTGGATGGTGACCGGAGACCACGGCGGCTATGTCAAGTACTGGCAGATGAACATGAACAACGTCAAGATGTTCCAGGCGCACAAGGACCCGCTGCGCGGAATCAGGTAGCTATTCCGTGCTCGGGCGGCGGGCGCGCGGCGGCGATGTAGCGGCGTCGGCCTGTGACCTGACACCTGACCTCACCTGACCTGCGCCCGCCCGTCCGCCCGCCTGGCGCGGTCTGTGATCGGCCGCGCGTGCTCCACGGGGCGGACAGCGCAAATACACGTCGGGAACGGGGGAGGGGGATGGCGGTGTGGTACAAAGTCGGTCGTGAGTGTTGTGCGCCGCGGGGGCGGCCGCTGTGCTGTAGGCTGTCGCCGGCGCTGGCCGCCCCGGCCCGTGTGGGAATTAGTGGTGTGTCTAAATAAACAACCGCTGGCTGGAAAGGGCCTAGCCTGGCCCAGCCACCGTCGCTGCGATGTAAATACACTGACCGGCGCGCCGCGGCCGCCGCCCGCTCCACCCATCAGCTGCCGGTGCGGGCAACTGGTCCCAGCCGCCGGGCCGGGGCCGTTTGCGCCGTAGCGCCGCGTCATTTCTGGAGCCTCAAATTCCGGGACTGCGTCCGGATAGCTTCCCAGGCTTCCAGATGCAATTTGGCTTCTAACTGGAGTTGTGTGGGTCGGTGTTGCACCCAGCGTTTTGCTTGGGCAGTCTCAACGTTTGGCAGTAACTGTAAGGCACTATCAATGCATGGAGTTCCTAATTGGTTTTCGATATAGATTGCCGGGAAATTCAAATCTGGTCGAGGCAGTTTCTCTCACCTCTACCAGGTTTGTAAGATGGAGTCCATTTGTTGAAGTCTCCTAAGTATTAGTGGGCGCCATGGTTAGCATTGACTTTCAAGCCTGGTCGCCGCATAGGCTATCAGGTAGATGCTATGAAACCCTGGAACGGCAGCCTTCCAGCCGGCGTCGGTGGGCAGCCAGCTCTTCTCCGCAGCGCTGCTCGGTGTGCTGGCCACAAATATACCCAGGCCTATTGTGTTCCATATCTCCATACCTGTGATATCTTGTGATACCTTGTGATGAGTTTATTTAACGTACTTGTACCTGGTGACTTGTTGCTCTAGTCAATTTCCCAAATAAACTCAGGAGCGTAAAAATTTTGTTTCTGGTTTCTGAGCGGCCTGCCTCGGACGTAAATTGGAACAAGTTTCGCCGTAGAACTCGAACAAACACGATGTCTATGGTTAGCGCGATTCAGAACAACACGAACAATAGGCTCCTGTTCAAGACGTGCTGGGTTACAAGGTTTGTGTAGAACAGAAGGCGCAAGTTATATTTCAAACGTGTATATGGGTCAATCCCTGATTTTCCTCTGTCTGCTGCGCACACGCAGTTTGCCAGGTTTATGATCGTTAGTCAGCGGATACACATATTCATCCGACTGTATTGTCGGCATTTGGATGGTGTTTAATTGGTATTTCCGTCCACCTGGTAAGTGTCGCGTAAGGATTTCGCATTTGCGGACTGTTTTGGACGCTTTTTGTTGTCCGGTAAGAAGATGTTGGACTGGCGCCGACTGTAATGAACATCTGGGCTGTCAGCGCAACAGAGTAGACACCATTTTAGATTGCCAGTGGGGGTGACTGACGCTGGCGTACCGCCTCCAGCCTGTCGTGGTGCTCAGGCGCTTGGCCTGGTGCGCTTCGAAGCGAGGCTTTAAAGCGGCAGCCAGCGTCGCCCTGCAGCGGCAGCAGTGTCGCGCCGGCGTTAGTGGGCAGACGCGGCCGCCGCAGTAAGCTGGCGCCAGCTTCTGACGGCCCGGCAGCACACGAGCGCCGCACCGGGGTGAGGCCCGCTGGCATTAGCTCAGTTTACTTTCCTGGTCGCGGTCTTGGCTGGTTAGGACGGAGGTTTCTTGAAACGCCAACTATTTGGCGGATATTGGGGTGAGGAGAGATGGCGGGTGGAGTGACAATGCGTTCACCCCACGCCGCAGCTCGGACCGCTAGCCGTATAACAGGTGCGGATGCGCCGGTGTCCGCGCGGGGCCGGGAGCCGCGGACCGCGAGGGCCACCCTTCGGCCGGATGGCCGCGGTAGACGGAGGTACAGTGGTGCTTGGGCGGATTTAGGAGCCCCAGAAAGGATAGGCTGGCTCGTGCCGAGTGGATGCGGTTCAATCCCGGCGTGGTGAAGGTATAAGCCGAGGCGATTAAATAGTGGGAGGATGAAAGCGTGTGATGTGGCTCCATCCAGTCCTTATACGTAAACAATGCTAGAATGACTTCCGTTTTTATTTACATTCCTGGCCGCCGCACTGGGCACTGGAGCCGACAAAAGCGAGGCAATGGGTCGACGCCTGCCGGATCCGCAATTTGGAAAGCGATGATGTTTGTAAAGTGGGGATGCTCGACTGTAGGCTTGTGCCAATAGCGGAGTGATGTGCACTGGCGGCAGGTGTGCTTGATGCCATCCAGATCTCACAGCTGTGGGATATTCCTACCGTTATGAAGTCCTGTCCGGCATCCGTCGGCTCACCACGTGGATGTATGCTTGACCGTCGCGCATAATTCGCTGATCAGTAGTCTACGATTATTTCAGCTCGGATTACGTTCAAAGTGTATGTTAGAAGCTTGCTTGGAGAGCAGGCTTCGCAAAGACTCTTTGAAAACAGAAAATCTGTTGTTTTTCGGTAAGTATGGGTCAGATGGGAGGATACCGGCTGAGAAGGGTCCACGCCCAAACCCCGTCCCTTCTTCAAAAGGGAGAAGGGGTGCGGGGATGTCTTCGCCGCCCGTGGGGCTGTCTCGCTGGCGATAATGACAGCATCCGGGGTACATTCTAAGCCTTCTTATCGCGGCCTTTTCTCAGCCGGTGCAAGCCTTGTTACACGCCATGCTGTAGCTGTGGTCTGCTCTTTCCGAAGCCCTCGCGACCGCACCGCTGCGCCGCTCACCGCGCTGACGCGGTGCTCTGCACGACACCTCGCGTGCGGGCTGGACTTTGTCATTAGTCGGTAAACAGAGGGGCTCAGGTGGGAAACACCAGGGTAACCACTCTTCTTCTGTACAGCGATAAGGAAGCATGCGCAGATTGCGACTCGACGTAGGTGCTCAGACGAGCCGGCTACGCCATAACAGGGTGTGGGGTGACGCCGTTTGACATGGCGGGGTGTTTTTAGTTTCGAACCGTAGAACACCCGTGGAACAAAACTTCCATACAAAATATGGATGCGTTATGGGATCAGACCAGGTTATATTGGCCATGTTTGCACATAAGATAGAAGAGCAAACGCCTCCCCAGTCGCGCAGGATGCCCTCCAAGACATGAAGGTTTGCCTTCCCGTCAGAAACCATTCTGAGACAGATAAAGAACATTGGAAAACTGGATATTCCTTTAACCGAATAGTGTGGAGAGTCCATCTGTGCACCATGAGAGGAAAACAAAGCTAGGTATATATGGCAACCAGAATGTTTAATTTTTTTAAAGGCTTCGTATATTGGAGCAGTAGCGAAGTCCTCCACTTCCACTCCCTTCGTTATTGGACTACCCTATTAGGAGCAGTAGCAGAGTCCTCCACCTCCACTCCCTTCGTTACTGGACTCTCCTATTAAAGGCGGTAGGGGAGTCCTCCACGTCCAGTCTCTTCGTTACTGGACTATCCCCACCAGTGAAAATACAATGCTCCATAAAATATGCGCCTGTATCAGCGGTGGGTGAATAGAAGCGTGCATGTGACGTAGAACAGAAACTGTTAAGGAAGGTCCGGCCTGCTACCGTAGGTGACGCTAAGCTATCAGTTTTGTACATTTTGGACCCCGAGTTAGGATCGACACCGTTTTTCCGTGGAAGCCGATGCACGCCATACATTCAGTCAATATAATCAATTAAAGTGACATAATTGACTCAGGGTGATTGAAATTCCTCTAAATTGTCTAATTCATACAGACAGGTAAATATGATCATCATTATCTTGGTGCGGAGCCAACAACTGACACCACGTGGCGTCACCTTTGTGATCCGACCGCGTTAACCGCCCTTGTGTACCATACCCAGGCTTATTGTAACTGCAGGCGACATATGTTTCCATCAAGTGCAATTTTAAGATTTGGAGGTAATGCTTCACATTTGTATGGAGCTTTGAACTTATGAAGCCATCTTGAAGAACATGTGGTACGGTTCACAGCCTTGACCTTCTTGAGACCTAAACCCCTGTAGTTTCTGAGCTCCACGCCCACGAAGATGTGCAGACTTTTTCGTGCAGACTGTTTCAAGGTCGTACAGGCATCCATAACCCAAAATGAATGTCATTCAAATCCTGCCATTGCATTGGCCATGTGGCGATTAAGGCCAATAAACATTAATAGTCAAGTCGTTCCACCATATATATGGTGGAACGACCACGGACACCAATATATAGGGTGTCCGTGCGCATGTTTTCCAGACATAACGGTTGTCATTAAGCTCTCAATCGGTGTTATGTAATGCACGGTCACACAGTTAAGCAATGACGTATCGAAAAGCATGTTATCGTAAAGAAAAATTATTGTCAAGAGGAGTGCTTTCCAGTTACTAGTACGTAATACTTATTTTGTCATATCTGATGGTTATCTTATTATCTTCAAATGGGGAACTAAGCGTAATAGTAAGGTTACTACTACTTAATACTTATTTTGTCATATCTGATGTTTATCTCATTATCTTTAAATGTGGAATTAAGGGTAATAGTAAGGTTACTACTACTTAATACTTACTTTGTCTTATCTGATGGTTATCTCATTATCTTCAAATGTGGAACATTCCCTTCAAGTGTCTGAGACTGGTCTTGATGTTAGAGGCCATGATACTACATTCCTTCAGTAATTACGGACTCCGCTTCCCCATGGCGTAGTCCGTAAAGAGGCGAGACGAGTCCGAACTGCTCGTAGGATCTGAGGCACCATCTGCTCGGGACTGCCTGTCGCAGGCTATATGTAGGGTGGTGCACCGTGCAGGTGGCTTGTAAATTCTCCTCTAACGCTCGCCCGGCCGGCACCTTTCACGCTCCCAATCAGGGTGGGCCAGCATCCGGATACCATTCTACACTGCCACGGTGATAACCAGTGCTCGGACATTACACCCGCAGTAGGTGGCTGAAATCCACACTTCATTCGGTCACTGGCGTCGTAGGCGCAGCGTTGGCGCCTTTCTCGCCATCACGAGCAGCGCTTGAAGCTGCCCTTCGCTGTAATGTTCTTTCCAGCCGCTCCCTCGGTGCTGGCCGCCGCCTGCCATTGCTCCGTCGCCGGTGCTCTCCGCCCCGGCAGCGTTTCGTTCTTCTCGCTCGGGTAGGGGTAAACTTCTGGTCGTCCGCGCCGTCCATCCTTCACTGGCGTCCCGTCACTTACCTGCCCATGGAGGCCGCTCTTTGATGGCGTGACGCGTGCTGTCATGCCTGCGTCGCGAGCTGACCCGTGGGGGTGAATCTACTTGCCGTCAAATGTGACCGTTTAGTTCGTCCTCATGTCTTTTTGAGAGCCCCTGCTGTTCGCTTCTGTTAGCCCACTCCGCAGCACGAGCTCCTGACTGCTCGCTTCGTTTGCCTCCTCCAAAGCCCTGGCTGCGGGCTCCTCCTGTCTGCTCCTCACACATGCCTGCTCGCTCCTCTTGCTTCCTGCCCAGCCATTCCCGCTCGCTCTTCATGCCTCCTCTTCAGTCGTGCCTGCGCGCTCCCCTTGCTCCTCCCCAGCCCTACTCGTCCTCATTGCTTCCTGCCCAGTCTCGCCCGCTCGCTCTCTCTGCTCCCTTCCCTCCCCCAGCGTTGGCCGGCTCCGGTGCCTTCTCATTGTGTCAGGGTGATGTCTGCTCCCTCCCGTGCCTCCTCACTGCCCAGGCTGGTGACTGCTCCCTCCCGTGCCGTCTCAGTGCCCCAGGATAGTGACTGCTCCCTCCCGTGCCTCCTCACTGCGCAGGCTGGTAATTGCTCCCTCCCGTGCCTCCTCACTGGCCCAGACTGGTGACTGCTCCCTCCCGGGCCTCCTCACCGCCCAGGCTGGTGACTGCTCCCCCCCCCGTGCCTCCTCACCAGCCCAGGCTGTGACCGCTCCCTCCCTGCTCCCCCCCCCCGTGCCTCCTCACCGCCCAGGCTGGTGACCGCTCCCTCCCGTGCCTCCTCACCGCCCAGGCTGGTGACTGCTCCCTCCCGTGCCTCCTCACCGCCCAGGCTGGTGACTGCTCCCTCCCGTGCCCCCTCATGTCTGCCCCACCCCGGGCGCCGGCCGCCGCCTGTCGTGACTTAAGACGGCCCGGTGTCCAGTTTCAGTCCGTCCGACCACAAGCTGGCCACGTGCTCCGACGACGGCACCGTGCGCATCTGGGACTTCATCCGCTGTTACGAGGAGAAGGTGCTGCGAGGTAGGCGTGCACCCGCGCCGGCGCGCGCGGCCCCGCCGGTCGTCCCCGATGTCGGCGGCGCCGGCGACCCGGGCGTGGTGTCTGGGTGCTGGCCCTCGTGACCATGCTTCCCAAGGTGTGCGGAACTGCATGCTTGGTGCGAGAAACTCCCTGGGGCCCCCTAGTGGTATCAATGTCGGAAGAAATGATATCGCCACAGAAGAATCTTGGGATTTCAACAAGTTCACCTCAGAGTCTGATATCTTTGCGCACGTAATTGTACCTGTCCGTCACTTCTTGCACACGTGGGGAAACAGGTCACCACCAGACTTAACCGCTAAGCGTGGTGGGTGACATGCCCCAGCGACGCTGCTTCTCATGAGCGCCGGCTGCGCCAGCTCGGTTGGCGCCAGCTGCTAGTTCACCATCTCGCCGGTAGATGTCTCGGCGCTGTCCTCTGCTGCCGCCGGGGCTGACCCAGCTCCCGGTTGGGAATGTTCTGGAATTCCCACGCGCCGCGGGGCGCGACGGGGCCGTGTTTTCGCGCGAGCCGGGCCACGCGACGCCGGACCGGCGTTCCGGGGAGTGGGAGGTCGGGACCGGTCGGACCGGGACCGGCCGCTGCGCCGCCGCCTGTCCCCTGTCGGCCGCGATCGCCGGCTCTGTTTGACGGCGGGGACGGCGGCGGGGCGCGGACGGGGCTCGCGTCGGTGACGCGCAGGCGGCCACCGGTGCGCGCCGGTCGTCGGATGGCGTGATGCGTCCGGCGGTGGGCGGGGAAAGCCCTGGCTGGCTGGAGGGAACGCAGCCCACGCTGTGTGCGCGGCTGCCAGTCACGGCCGGGGCTCTGGTCGGCGACGTTTTGCATGAATTTGATGGTGAAAATGGCGACCAAAGCGCACACGCTCGCAGCGGCATGCCGAATATTTATCGGATGCCAGTCATTCGGATGCGACGAACCTACGGTTCACGGAATGGGTGCTGTCACTCTTAACACTGACCATGCCACTGTGGTTAAGCGCTGCATTGTTAGCATTGTTCTGCATACGTTTCTACTGCCGCTCTTGCTATGCTCTATTTAGTGATTTCGCCGTGCCGCCAAAGCAAACTACAGAATATCGGGAATGACATCTAATCACAGGCAAATCATGATAGCACAACGACAAGGTGCTGCCAGGCAACTATCTTAAAACTATCTAACAACTATCTTAGCGGCCTCCCTTAGAAGCCTGTCTATCCCAATTTGAAATCACATGACGACACGTGACCTGAGCTGACCCCTGGTCCCCTGAGTTACAACACTGATGGGAGCTGTTTCACTTAACGCCCGCAAGAGGCGTCGTCGTGTGTAGGGGCGGCGTGACCTGACCCGTGCCGCCTCACACAGGTCACGGCGCGGACGTGAAGTGCTGCGACTGGCACCCGCACAAGGGCCTGGTGGTCTCCGGCAGCAAGGACAACCAGCAGCCGGTGCGGCTGTGGGACCCCAAGTCGGGCCAGAGCCTCGCCACACTGTGAGTGTCCCGGCGTTGGCGGCGGCGGCGTGTTTCGTCAGCCGCCACTGGCGCAGCGCCGCTCCTCCTCCGCACCGTCCGCCGGTCTTGCGGCCGGCTCCCGACCTTTGCACCGCGCCATCTTGTTGAGCGGCTCATCAGCGCCCGGCGCTACATTGCCGCGAGTGGGGTGAGCCGCAAAGCCGGGCTGATGTCGCTGGGGGTCACGCCGGCACTTGCCCCCCCCCCCCCCCCTCCTTCCCCTGTGGTCGGTCTCGGGTGCTACCCCCTCTCCCTGTGGCCCATCTCGAGCGCTCCCTCCCCCAGTATTCAGTCTCGGGTGTTGGCTGCCTCCCTCCCCTGTGGCTGGTCTCGGGTGCTAGCTGCACGCGCTGTGGCCGGTACCGGGTGCTGGCTGCCCCGCTGTAGCCGGTCTCGGGTGCTGGCTGCCCCGCTGTAGCCGGTCTCGGGTGCTAGCTGCCCCGCTGTGGCTGATCTCGGGTGCTAGCTGCCCCGCTGTGGCCGGTCGTGAGCACCATCTGCCCCCGCTGTGGCCGGTCGTGAGCACTAGCTGCCCCGCCGTGGCCAGTCATGGGCGTTCGGCGGCCTGTCGCGGTGGGGTACATCCGCGTCTGCGGTGTCGAATGCCACGAGCGTATTTGTTTGTCGGCATCTGATAACGCCGCCGATCGCGGGGCCTGTGGTGTGTCAGGGCTTATGCCGGACGATGTTCTAAGCGTGCTGCAATGCAGCTGATCTCAATTGTCAACAACGATGGTTATTGGCACGTTAACCTTTGGTATTCGCCTTCAAACACGCCGTTGGTGGACGATTGCTCGCGTTTAAGCATAGCATCGATGGGGCCAACTGCCGTTCCAAATCATGCATGCTAATTGTACTGGGAAATGTGTCTCGGGTCTCTTTCTACGCTCCACGACTCCTCCGATCGGGGCAGCAGTGTGAAATTCTAGCCGTAAATTAGTTTGAAGTCGCTTACACAAACTCATTGCCAGCTGGAAGCCAGTTCCTGGAGTCCGAGCGTAAACAGTTTCAACCTTCTACGTCGTCACCTCCGCTCTGTGGACGTGCGGAATCGCTGTGACTCCGGGAAGCCCCAGCTCCGGCAGCCCTGGTGTGACGTCACGCCCCTTCACAGACACGCGCACAAGTCGACCGTGATGGACCTCAAGTTCAACAGGAACGGCAACTGGCTGCTGACGGCTTCGCGGGACCACCTGATCAAGCTGTTCGACATCAGGAATCTGGCGCAGGAGGTGCAGGTGAGGTGGAGCAGCGCGGCCGGCCTCGGCCGCTCTCTCGGCACGCGGTCAGCCTTCACCGGCGTCCGGAGGTGGGCCAAGCGTGGCTCACCTCTGGCGCGCCGGTCTGGCCGAGCGGTTGCCCCCGTCCGCGCAAACAGCCCGGACAAAAACAGACGAGTGAAAGGCCTGACCATAGCCAAGGGCAAACCTTATGACACCGCCGCGATAAACAATAATACACAACTCAGGCTTGCTGAGAAATAGTAGCTGAATGACTTGATGTAACCGCTTTGACCGCGAACACGAGTGACTGTCACCACTTTTGTAGCATCACTGTCGCGGGCATTGGGTTATGCAATTTGGTTGCGCTGGTTCGCTGCTCGAATATGGTGTCATTTTGCCATTGAGCCTCGGTGGGATATTTTATCCGTAGGCTTATGCTTTCGATCGCCGCCTCATGCGGGCGGCGCAAACACAGTCGTAGTGCGGTCATATTGCAGTCATATTGGGTCCGTTTCACAAAACGAAGGCAACGTTCACGATGACCACGTGTACCACACAAGGCACCGAGTCAGTCACGTGACGAACGAGTCCTTTTCAAGCGCGCGGTCACCAGCAGGTCAGGGATGCTCGGGGCCTCCAATCTTGCACTCGACCGAAGCCTGGATTTACACACGGATCATCGGCAGTGGGTTGTTGAGATCGGCAGAAGTAAGGAGTGCGGCCCGTGTTTGCAGGCCGGCGTCGGGTACCGCCAGGCGCGCGCTGTAAAAGGACATCGCGCCTGGCCGTGCCGGTGTGATGTCATGCTTCCGTCGCCTCCGCCGCTGCTGCTCTGTGGTGCGGCTGGGACACGCCGTGGGTGGGTGTGGATATGATAGAAAGCAGGGACGCAGTAATGATTTTCTTTGTGGAGGGCTAGACAATAAAAATGAGTCAATCTTACCCCAAAACACACCAGCAAACGGATTTCCCGCCGAATTTGGGCCACCTTCTCTTCAACTTTGCGGTCGAGAGAGAACCCCCCCCCCCCCCCGCCCTACTGAGTGAGAAACCACATCCCTGCCAGTAAGTACTGAGCGGCCGCAGGTGCTCACTGCCGCTGCCCGCTCCGGGAGCAGCGTGCAGCGCGGAGAGCCGGGGATGTGCCGAGCGGTGCGCAGTGAGCGCCGTAGGTCCCGCCGGCTGACCGTCGCCCGTTGCAGGTGTTCCGGGGCCACAAGAAGGAGGCGGCCAGTCTGGCCTGGCACCCGGTGCACGAGACGCTCTTCTCCAGCGGCGGCTCGGACGGCTCGCTCATGTTCTGGAACGTGGGGTGGGTGCGGGCTCGCCGGCAGGCCCCGCCCGCCGCCCTGCGGCAGGTGGCCGCCGGCGACTGCGGCCGGTCACGGCGCGCCCACCGCCCGGACGCGGCTCTTGTCCCTACTGTTGTCACGACGGTGTGCTCTGAGGATGATTGTTTGGCGGAATGCGAGGTGTGATCGACCTCTGACGGAAAGGACTCTGGTTGGGCTCACGTTTCGCTGCCGCTTACTCGTCGTCTGTACGCGTGAGCAGTGACAGTGTTGTGGAACTCAGCCGTTATGTCGCGGTCCTTGGTAATGCTCACTTCTAGTCAGCTCCAAGCATCCGTCCTTTCGCACCAGCTTTTTCCATCGAACCTATGTCTTGTGGTGGATAGCATGCTACTGGACACCCTGTGCCATTGCAGACCCTGACCTGCTCAAAGACTCAACATGGTCCCTTTTCTCACTGACATCGCTCCTGGCATTGTCCCGCCGTCTCTGACGCTGCCTCGGCCTCCTGCAGCTGCGATAAGGAGGTGGGCTGCATCGAGCAGGCGCACGACTCGCTCATCTGGTCCATGTCGTGGCACCCGCTGGGTCACGTGCTCGCCTCGGGCTCCAACGACCACACGACCAAGTTCTGGACGCGCAACCGGCCCGGCGACTCGATGCAGGACAAGTACAACCTGAACATCGCCGAATCGACCGACGCGCCGACTGTGGTGAAGCCGACTGCGGACGACGCCGGCCAGCCAGGTACGCCGACGGCGGCGGACGGAGGGCGGGTGGGGTAGGCGACAGGCGCCGTCAGCTGACGGAGCAGGACTGGCGAGACGTCTGAGCGGGTCAGGTGCGAGAGCGCGGCATGGCAGACGTTCACCGGTTTGCGTTGGGGCTCCGGTGCTCGGCGATACGGGGTGTGCGGGCGGCGTTTTCCCCGGTGACTGTGTATTGATCGTGTGCCTGACCACAGCGACTGGCTTCTCCGCGTGACCCGGCCCGTCCGCTGACTCGGCTCTTCCGCTGACTCGGCCCGTCCGCTGGCCTGGCCCGTCCGCTGACCCGGCCCGTCCGCTGACTCGGCTCTTCCGCTGACCTGGCCCGTCCGCTGACCCGGCCCGTCCGCTGACCTGGGTTGTCCGGTTACCCGTCCTCTTCTGCTGACCCTTCTCACCCTTCTTCTCACCCGCTCCGTCCGCTGATCCGCCTCGCCCACTAACCCGGGTCTTCTTCTGACCCGGTTCATCCGCTGACCCAGCTTGTCCGCGTGATCCGCCCCGTCCGCTGACGCGGCTCGTCCCCTGACCTGGCCCGTCCGCTGACCCGGCTCGTCCACCCGGCAGCGGAGGAGGGCGCTGAGCCGGCCGACGCCGCCGACGCCGACGCGCCGCTGATCCCGGGCATGGGGCCGGACGACCGCGTGGAGCCGCCGGCGGGCCGGCCGGCCGGCGAGCGGCGGCCGGACGAGCCGCACGAGCCGGCCGACGGGCGCCGCTACATGCCGCGGCGCCCGCACTGGCGCTTCGCCAACCACTGGAACGAGCGCTGGAACCCGGAGTGGGGCGAGGAGCGCGGTGAGTGCCGGCACCCGGCGCAGGTTCGGCCATTTGACCGCGGGCGGGGATGGTGCGGTCGGTCGGGAGTTAGGTGGTAATGACAGGCAAATGTTTCTTCACGTGCGCTGTGAGAATATGTTGATAAGGGATTTCCGAGAGGGGGGGGGGGGGGAGGAGGGGCTGGCGCCGTGCTTGTTTGACGCAAGATTAAGTGTCTGTCCTTGCTCCACTGCAATATCGTAAAACTTTGCAAAGCATTCATCAGCCAAGAAAACAATCAATTGGCGTCGTTTCTCGACGGGATCCTGCTGGGATCTTGTCCCGTGGAATGCCTGTCTCATAAACTTTTCAATGCCCGATGTTCAGCAGACCAAAGTGTTATTTATAACACGTTAGGCAACGTGAAGTGCTGGTGCATTCAAAGCGTTACCATTATGTGCGCGTGATATTCCAGTGTACTTCTGGTAGTCAGTGGCTTTGTATATGAATACGTGCATGCTGAGAGCTCGAGCAACATGAAGCACTGATAGCATACCTGTTTTCTGTTCGTGATATTTCTTGCCATCTCTCGCTTTCAGTGTTCTTATGAATGCAGGCTTGCATGTTGGAGACTAAAATTGCAGAGGTTTCCTGTGCTTCAGCATTTTCAATTTCGGACGCATGGTCTTCATTGCTTCGGTGTTCCATGTGCGGTGTTAATACACCGCCTTTCACAGACAATCGCGGGTAGCGGGTATGTGCGGATTGTGCTTCCAGTAAACATGATAGCTACCTGATCTTTGGTGCATTTGCAAGCTGGGCGCGCCGAAGTGCGGCTACAGCCAGCCCACATGCATACTGCCGGCGAAGAAAGGGCCTGCCGGGGCGCATCTGTTCGCCTTTTTCGTGAAATGACTTGCTCCAGGAACTCGACCACATGCATGCAGGTGTTATCTGTTTCCGGTTATGTGCTCATGCGGATCGTGCAGCATGGCAGGCGTTGTGACGGCTGAAGAACATTGCAGCAGAATTCTCTATTCCTGGTTATGTTTGATGTCACTTTTAGCGGAGCTGAAAGTTAGCTTTGGTGGACGAAGAATATTTTGGTGTTGGCCTTTTATGTAAATGCATGCGGTGGCTTTTTAACAATTAAAGCTGCCCGTCCAAAAGGTCGGGCCTGCCAAGATGTTTCCGTTTTTTCTCGTAGACCTTCTAGAAAGGTTGCATAAGACAAATGGATGCTTAGGGGAGCAAATCTTTTTTAATCCTGAATTACTATCTCCTTCTCGAATCGTCCTCGGCTCAGTTAAGACGTAATAACAAAGCTCTCAGCGAGTGACTGCAAAACGCCCAGCGAACAGGATACCACATAAATAGGCACAGCATGCTGTAGGTTTTTTACATCGGACTCAAACACGATTTTCTGGTGGCGCGATTCCTTTGCCACCGGCACGTGTGGTTTAAGGAGATTGGAGTTAAAGAGATTGCCCTATAAAACGGTAGCTTTGATGTGTTCAGATTCTCCCAACTCAGACTTCTCATGTGGTGTGGGTTGTCAGATTCGTCGCCGTTACTAATCACACCAGTGTGAGATGAGGGTGTGTGGGGAGTAGGCGACCGCCGATTCGGCAAACAGCGGCGGAACGATGACCACCTTTCGGTTAAGATCTTTGATCCACCCGCTGTGTCATGAAGGCTCGTGCTTACCCCTAGACATTATTTCGTGGTACACTGTTATCAAATGTAGTCACGAACAATTTTCGATTCCTTCAGTGAGATCTTCTGGGCTCGCTGGCGGCGTTTCGATTCTCGTTAGGTCAGTGGGAAGGGAAGGGTGAGCAACCCCTCTGTTGTATCGCGAACGGCGCGATGCAGCAAAATAAATTCGTAAGGTTTTCTACGCAGATTTTATTTGGAGCCGACTGAGTTTCCAGCCAGTTTGTGATGCCATGCCAACTCACTGATCTCTAACCTCCTCGCAATAATCCGCACGGCGAATATGTAAAATCGGCACCGCGCGCTATTTTGGGTCCTATTTGCGGCCCGTGCACCAGATCATACCATTATTTCATTGGTGGTTCCGAAACTGGTGTCCACGGCGGAGGTTGGTGAGGACTGGAGCAACCACGACGTCGTGTCTTGCAGTGCTTTCGTCCTCCCCCATGGCGATAAAAGCTTTGAAGTGGCGCCAAGACTAGCACTTCTAGTGGCATACGCCATTGTAGTACGGAAATTAATGATGGGGCACGAGTGTTAATTGGTACTTGATTGCACCAGTGTACCGCTCTAATAAACTGTTGCATAATTGTGTCGCTTTGTCATGCTATCAGCAAGGTTCGTTTCTGTTTCTCCTTCACCATTGCTGCAGCGTACCGTGCCGGTCCAATGACCTGGCGTTCACTGGACGAGCACATCGTACCTGAGTATGTACTGCGGCGCGTGGTGATGGCGGGCACCCGCTAGAAAAATAAAATTTAGATGTGGCCAGCGTTATGGATAGTCTATTTGCTCGGATTATCCCCCCCCCCCCCATTGTGCGCATCCACGCGGCGTTTTGGACGTCTTGAGAAGTACTGCATGCTGTTCTGGTTTAAAACGCGCCCGGGTGGCCCGTTGAATGCCCTTCGCTTGGGTAGGGGGTCAATTAGGCCCCCTGAGATCGTAGAAACTAAGAAAGCTGGAGGCACCAAATTCACAGTGTGTATTGGCCTGTACGTGAACTCACTTGTGGCAAAATTTGAGGCTCAGATCAAGACCTTCGGGTTAGATAGGGTCAAACAAGGTCAAACTCCAGGTTTGCATTCAGAGTTCCCCAGGACCTGGAAACGTGTTCTTATCAAAAGGCCACTGGTGCTCATTTAAAGTCAGCGGCCTTGTTTGACCTTTAGAAGGTCACGGTGACCAAAATTATCCAAAACTGCTTTAAGCTTTGCATTCGAATAAGCGTCAAAGATGAAGGTACCCCAAAAATAAATGCTGACCTGGGCCTTTTCAGGTCAGTGACCTATTCTGACGTGTAGGTGGTCGATGGAGATGCGTAATACAGTTCCTGTAATCAATAGATTTAAAGAAGCATCACAAACTGCTCGATATAGCGAGCTTTACAGTAATAAAACAGGTTGGTTTTGACCCTGGTCTGACGTCCGCGCGTGACCCTAGGTTAATGGACTTCGTTCAATCAATTGTTGTGTTGCCTAAGAAACTATCTCGGAAATGTATGGATCCGTCTAACACTTCGTTGTTGCATCAGATTGACCGATATTTAGATAGAATAAGATAGATAACGATAGAAATTATATTTGCTTAATCCATGGCCTTACCTTGACCCGCCGTGGGTTAGCGACCTTACAAGATAATCTAAATTGTTCATACCAAACTGCTCGGCTACGTTCGTACGCTGCGCCGCGCGGAAACCATTCCTCAAAAACCTTCGGGGAAGGGGCAAGTTGGCCGTCGCCTGCGCGCGTGTTAAGCCATGCACGCATCAAAACCAGAAGTTCTCTTTGGATATGCTGGTATTCAAACTGGTTTCTTCTGATTACAAGTTGAGCGCTCTAACACCGAGCCAACCGGGAATAACAGGAGAGCAGCTAGCTAACCTGGAACAACAGGAAAGCAGCTCACAGCTCGGTGGTAACCCTTGTGCTCGTAGTCAGAGGACCCCTACTGTGAATTCAAGCAATTCCAAGGGGGGGGGGGGAATACGGATGTGCTGCTTAGATAACTGAAAGCTGAACCGCATCCAGTGTTTCTTGGGGCTCAATGACTCTGGACGACGGCCAGGAAATAAACTGGCCGAAACGTTGTGTAAATACTTACACCCTAGACGAGGGCGATAGTCTAAACATATTTCTTATCCTGCTACGAATACCTCGCCTCGATCATTCTTTATAAATGGTCAAGCTATCGGAATCGCAAGATCCGTCGGGAAGCATATCCAAGGTAGATGAAGCCAAGAGACATACTAAACATCCTGTAACGCATAGCCGGTGGACTTCTGCTAGCGATTCACAATTTTACGTGGCTGCCTTTAACCCCCAAAAATATTAAATACATTGCTTTCATTTTGTGTGATGGTCTCTGGCTGCCCGGGTGGGTGTGTTGTCGTGGTTCAGCGTTGCGGTGGCAGCATCAGTCGCTATAGCGCAGCGAGCTGCTGCAGCCGTGGAGCTCATGTACCCCTGCACTGCAGCGTGTTGCGGCGGCCGCGCTAGCTTTTGTGCCTCTCTGGTTCTGAAGGCTGCGGCTCCAGCGGCGGGCTGTGCCGGCTGTGGTGGCTGCCCTTTTGAGGTGGTAGCGGCGGCGACGTCAGCCCTTTTGAGGTGGTAGCGGCGGTGACAGCTGTTGCGCCCCGTGTTGCAGCCGGCTTTCGCGGCCGGGGCGGCTGGCGAGGCCGGGGCAGAGGTGCGTGGAGAGAGCGCGACAGGGAGGACTGGAAGGACGAGAAAGCCGGCGACAAGGCCGCGGAGGACGGCTGGAAGGGCAAAGGGCGCTGGCAGGACAGGTGAGTGGGCGGACCATTCCCGCCACGTGGGTTGCTCTGTTGGCATCCTATCCGGTTCGCGTACGCAGGCTTCTTTCTCGGCGAAGGGAATTTACTTACGCGTTGTATCAATACTGTATTAGCTGCTACGTCATGGATCCACCATGGAAAAATATGACCCCTTTCTTCAACATTTTAAGATTTGCCGATTGTTTTTTCACGCCGTTGGCGCGCCCTGTCCATGTCAAGCGTATCTTATTTTCTTCCCGTGTGCATGCAGATGATAACCTTTGGATGATGTGTGTGTGTGTGCGCCAATCATGTGTGTGTGTGTGTGTGTGTGCGTGTGTTGAAAATCGTGCACGCGAAGGACAACCGGCTCCTGTACTAACACTGTTATCTTGCGCGGCGTCAGGGGCGGCGTCAGGGACGCCGCCAGCGACGACCGCAAGCCGGAGGACGAGCAGCGCGCACGCGACGTCGAACTGCGGCCAGGCGGCGGCGCCGACGGCGCGCGCGGCTTCCGCGGCGGCCGCGGCGGCCGACGCGACCTGGAGGGGCCGGCCGGCCGGCCAGGCGGCGGCGGCGGACGGGACTGGGAGCGTGGACGGGACAAGACGGAGCTCGGTCCGCCGGCCGAGCCCAACGGCTTCCAGGAGGGGCAGCGGCCAGGTCCGGACGGCGTCAGGCCCGACGGCAACCCGCCGGCCGACGCCGGCTTCCGCGGACGCGGCAGGGGCGGCTTCAGGGGCAGCGATCGCGGCAGTTTTAGGGGCGGCGAGCGCGGCGGGTTCAGAGGCGGTGAGCGCGGCGGGTTCAGAGGCGACCGCAGCGGGTTCGGTGGCGGTGAGCGTGGAGGGTTTGGTAGCAGTGAGAGAGGAGGTTTCGGCGGTGAAAAGCGCGGAGGCTTTGGCGGTGGTGAACGGGGAGGCTTCGGCGGCGGTGAGCGCGGAGGTTTCGGCGGCGGTGAGCGCGGAGGCTTCCGCGACGGTGAGCGTGGAGGCTTCGGCGGTGGGGAGCGCGGAGGCTTCGGCGGCGGTGAGCGCGGAGGCTTCGGCGGCGGTGACCGCGGGCCCCGCGAGCTGGACGGGAAGCGCGACGAACCACTGCTGGACCGGCCGCCGCCGCTGCCGGCCGGCGGACCGCCGGCGGGCGAGTGGCGCGGCGGTCGAGACGGCTGGCGCGGCGGCGGTGCACGCGACGGAGGGGAGCAGCAGGATGACTGGCGCGGCGGCGGCGGCGGACGCGGTGGAATGCCGCCGCGCGAGGAGGGCTGGAGGGGTGCGGGAGGCGGCCGCGGCGGAGGAGCTCCTCAGGATGAGGGCTGGCGCGGCGGCAGGGGCGGCGGCGGCTGGAGGGGCGAGGATCAGGAGGAGGGCGGCTGGGGCGGCGGCAGGGGCGGCGGCGGTTTCCGCGGTAGGGGTGGCAACTTCCGAGAAGAGGAGCGGGGTGGGTGGCGTGGCGGCGGCCGCGGCCGAGGTCGGGGGCCCAGGAGGGGTCGCGGCGACTTCTATTGATGGATTGGCTGTTCGTGATCGACGTGATTACCGCTATCAGGTTGTTCTGCTCGGTGGAATATTCGCGGCACGATTAACATGGTAATGGCGAGCCTGTGTTCTTCGAGGTGTGGATGTCATGATGCGATCATACTTGGCTAGTTAGTATTTAGTGCTACAGGTCTGCGGAGATCTGAGCTCTTTCTCTCAAATTGTTTCATTCCACAGGCGGCAAATAAATGTGAATGCGCAAAGTTTTTATCCTGAATGAGCACTGAATTACACCGTGAATGACGTCACCGCAATGAAGGTATTCGATGATTATGTTATATTTACATATTATATTATGCATTATGTTATACTTTATATTATCTTCGATCATTATGATATATACCGATTATTCCTGCACATAACACTGCAATTGCCAGGTGACTCACCTCCGTCACCAGCCAGCCTAAGTACATGAAGCGAAAACAATCTAAGATGGAACCCACTGACCTGATATGGACGATATTCGCGGTTTTGCTCCGACTGGACGATCAGACCAACCCTTGCCTCAAGTTCTTACCCGGATTGCATTCAGTGGTTTTTTGTTCATGTCGTGCACGATACCCCCCGGGATGCGGATGCAATTATCGTCGACTTTCGGTTGCGAGGCAGGTTGGATCCGATGATTGCAATGCCAACTTCCATCAGTTCTCTCGCACCAACTCAACCACAGAAGTCCGGAAACATCTCACTGCGGCGTCGCAGAGTGATCGCGAACTTTGCAGAGGGGTGAGTGATGGTTGTTGTTTTCTGCTGGGGCGTGTAATAAACTGACTCGTGCCGGTGTTGGCCACTTATTCGCCACGCGATCGTTCTTTCAACCTGCCGTCCAAACGATCCCACCGCGCTCACGCATTATTCCTTTATATAACGCTGCAGATGCCAGGTGACACGCCTCCGGCACCAGCCATCCCCAGGCACAAACCGGTTACTTTAATTGTGCAGACAAGTTTGGGGGGGGGATAAAACCTCCTTTTGGCAAAATTGGGGAAACACGCTACACTGCAGGGGTGCAGCCAAAGGCTTGACAAGGGGGGGGGGGGGCTCAGGGCTGACAAATAGCCCCATAATAGTACAAAAGCCCCCAGGAAATCGCCGGATATAGCTCATTTATTATTGAGAGCATGTTTATATATACATATATATATATATATATATATATATATATATATATATATATATATATATATATATATATCACACGCTTTTGCATTATTTAACTGGAACATTGGCTACACGCTACTGCAAGATCAAGTCTGCCCTTAAGTGTACAGTAAAGAAACCGACAAAATCGCGCGTTAAATGAGTCGCGTGGAATGAATTACCGGTACTCTTCATTTTGAAATGATCTAGTGAAGTTTTTTAAACCGACAGAACTCAGAAGCTTTGTCAGAGTTTTTATGTAAGTTGTACAGAAATAACAAGGATTCCGTAAACGTACATTATAAATCAAAATGGGTCAACAATTAGTGTTAACATGGCCAAGCCATGTTTGTCTGGATATGTCCAATATTCAGTCAGAGCTGGTAAGTGACGCAAATTATGTAACGTAGCTTTGAGCACGCATACTCGCATATCTTAGTAACAAAACGTCGACATCAGGCGTTGCAGTCTCCTAAGGCCGGGCGGCGTCCACCGAGTGGTTAACAGGCCGTGGTCAACAGGTGGGCGAAAGTGGTGACGCATCTGAAAGAGGTATCTTTGAACGTTTTTGACACCAAACCGTGCATCTAGAGATATTCCGTGCGTATTTTTCACCTGTGCGGTTTAAAGATAAATGATAATAACGTATTGATATTTAGAGCACCGCGAAGTGGTGCTGGAATCTGGTTGTGGAACTGGCAAAGAAAGATAAAATCTCTGTTTTCCGTGTTGCTGTAATTGTCAATCTGTCCGGAGGACAGCCTCAAATTTGAAAAAAAATCGCCCAGGGCAGCCTTGGCAATGAACAAGTTAATTTCGAAAGACATTCGGAAGTATAATTTTATACCGGTCATTGTTGCGCCCGTCTGACCCAGAATTTCAGGTCACTACGTTACTTTAATGGCCAACGCCATATATATATATATATATATATATATATATATATATATATATATATATAGTAAATACGCAGACTCAACTTACCATGCGCAACCCTATAAAGCTAGGCGTACTACGTATGCACATACATGAAACACGCTCATTTTCTCATGTTAGATCCTGTAATTTTGAGGACAAATGCTCCAAAAAAAACAGACAAAATAAACTCAAGTTGGCTGCTAAGTACCATCAAAACCAAGAACGGACTCGATTTCAAGCTTATTCACGGCTAGCCGGCTGGACGGTGTAACCAGCTGATGACAGATGACTAATGCAGAATTTGTCCTGCATTACACAGGAGCACCATATCCTAGAATCAAAATATGCTAAAAGCATGATGCACAAGTACATCAAACGTCACACGCTCATTAGCCGAGGGTAGTGACACATACCACATCGGCGGCACGTAAAATTTCTTTCGACTACTGCGCGAAAAAAATGTATCGGCGCATATCCAACTGCTCCTCTAAGGATAAGGCACCAATGCCAATAGGGACGGAACCTAAGGCATCATGGTTGTCGCGGAAGGCCGGCAAAGGGGCTCCCGTCAACATGTTAGGGGCCTCAGAGCAAGCGAAAAAAATCCAAGACCGACATAGTGGGCCCCTAAATGATCGGTAGTGCCCTGGCAGGTTGACATACGAGGCCCCGGCCAGACCGCAGGATCCTATGAGCAAAGGGGAAATACCCAATACCATGAGTTTATACCCCCCTGCGGTCAAGTGACCGGGCAGGCTAACAGAAATAACCCCGACAGGAGTGAAGGGTCCACCGCAAATGAGATCAAAGGGACAGAGCCCTCAATCGAAGCAGAGGGCCCCAGAGCATCGATTGCCTCGGTGCCTTACCTTATACAAGATCCAGTAACAGCACAAAGCCCTGCGAGCAAGTGGAAAGAACCCGAGACTAACATGAAGGGCCCCTGAGCAATTGAGTATACCCTGGCGTATGAAACCCCGGAAAAGGGTATAAGAGCCTGTCGAGAGAACGGGAATAATGCGTGGAGGAAAACCTGATCGATCGAGGGTGTCCAGGCATGGAAGCAGATAGTGTCCCAACACCAGCGTTGGGCCCTACGAGAAGATGCAGAGAGATCAAGGGCAACGTGGAAGGCTCCTTAGCGATCAGATTGACCCGGCATGTGAACATAGAGGGCCCCGGCAGCAGCGTAAGGCCTCTAGACAACGTAATGAGTCCCAAAATTTTCCCCCAATCAACACCTCAATCAGCGAAGACTTGGCTTTGTCTGCTGAATGAACTCTTCGCCTTCACTGGCAACCATTCATAGCCGTCCGTAGACCCAAAGACGTCTATTTTTTTTTTAACTGCGTCTTTTGGCCGGTTGTAAGCCCCTTCGGAGCCTGTGGGTCCCTCGGCATGGTCCGCGGGGGCATGGTCCTGTGCCTCCCCCCAACCCACCTCCATATCTGCCACCGGCCCGAGCAGCTTAATAGGTGAGGCCCGCCAAGAACAAAGGGCCATCGATTCAAATAAGAAGTACCCAAGACACAACCTAAAGGGCCCGGGAAGATCGAGCGTGCCTGAAGAGGTTGACATATAGGGCCGATTTCGAGAGCGTAGTGAGCGTAGAGCGTCATATCCTTTATTCAAGTAGGAAGCACCCGAGATCCGATGTAAATACCCCTGAACGATCGAATGTGCCCTGGCAGGTTATCAAAAGGGGTACCGACAATAGCATATGGCTCTCCATTCAAAAAAGAAGTGCCCAGTACGGAGGGCCGCTGAAAGATGGAGTGCACCCAAGCAGGTTATCATGTGGCCCCGATAGGAGCGCCGAACCCTAAATTCAAACACCAACAGCCAATGTGCAGGGCCCCCGAACAGTCTAGTGTCGCCGAGGAGGCGAACGGAGGGGGCCCGCGACAAGTGCGTAGGACCCTCAATTTAAATAGGGAGTACCCAAGACGAAATGTAGACGGCCCCCGAACGATCGAACGTGTCCGAGCAGGTTATCAGACAGGCCCTCCACAAGAACGTAGGGCCCCCATCCACATCAGAAGTACTCAATGCCCAGTGTGGAGGGCCCTCGAAAGATCAAGTGTATCCTAGCAAGCTATCAGATGGCCCCCGACAGGGGTGTAGGGCCCTATATTAAAATACCAATGTGCAGAGCCTCAAACCATCCAGTGTGTCCGAGTAAGTTAACAGAAGGGGCCCCAACAAGCATGTAGGGTCATCCATTCAAATAAAAAGTACACAAGACCCTATTTGAAGGGCCTCAAACGACCGAGTATGCCCTAGCAGGTTAACAGATGAGCCCCGACAAGAGCGTAGGCCCTAAACAAGTGACAGAGAATTGGAAGCGCCCTCGACTAATAAAGAGAGCTCATAAACATATCGCGAATGTGTCGCTAGGCTAACCGAGACCAACGCAGAGGGCCCCTGAGCAACCGAGAATACTCCGGCAGGTTAACATATGGGGGCCCGGCTATAGCATACAGAGCCTTTCTGGCCAATGGAAAGAATCTTTGGAATGCCCTGATTGATAGGGGCGTCTCGGCACACTAGTAGGAAGAGCCCAGGAGCAGCACAGGGCCCTCCGAGCAATGTGAAAATCAAAGGCAATGTGGAATACTCCTTAATGATCGGAATAATCTTGCAAGAAGGCATATGGGTCCTTCGGAAACAGTACAATGAGGCCTGAAATTTTTAAATAACAACTCCTCAATCATTGAAGAGTTTTTGTCTACTCGTGGACCCTTCACCTTTGCTTGCGACTATTCTTGGTTGCTTAAAAGTCCAAAGACGTCCAATTTTGTTGCGTTTTGTGTTTAAAAAAATGGACTTGTTCGGCCGGCTATAGGCCCCTTCGGAGCCTATGGGCCCTTCGAGATCCAGGGGCATGGCCCCGTGCCCCCCTCTGGATCCGACCCTGGCTGGGTCTATGTAGCGTCGTCAGCCTCTCACCCTGGGGGGGGGGGGGGGGGGGAAGGGCGGTCATCGCGGGGAACCGAACTCCGCTCCTGTAGTTTCCCAAACGCGCAGTGGATAGCGCAGGCGCGGTAACCACTACACTATCGACACCCGACACGCAAGCTTAAACCTTTTGATGACATTTTTTCCTGGTCGATTCTGCAAAATAATGAACGTTCTCAGTGAAACATGAGATGGTCTTCTGCGTTTAGAACCCATTCTGATCCACTCCATTCAACGCTTATGAAACGCCTATATTTCCAGCAAAGGGGCCTCTTGACTACAACATTACGGGACACATCACTGCTCCCGGTCAGGCGCTGGAGGACCATTCTGTCCCACCGCGGTGTGTTTTTCGGTCGTCATTCAGAAGACATGGGGTGGCATCCCCTGGCCGATCGGGGGGTCCTTATAGGGATATATCATATCACATTGGTTCGCTTCCTGACGCGGCAGGCCTTCTGACCCGTCCGTTTGATCCTGGATCGACGCATGAACCCTCACTCATGCAACAACATCTCTACTCGCCGTAGGCGGTCAAATAATTGGCGCATAGAATCCCGTTGGGTTTAACGGACCCATGCTGGAATAGGGTTGGAGGGCCCACCGTTCGTTACTGGGGCCCCTGACTGGCACAATGCTCTTTTTTACCGGAATGTGAGTGCTCATCACAAGTTCTTATGTTCCCTTCCATTGTCAGAGGGCCCTTACCGAAGCAAGAGACCCTCTGCCATTCGAGCTCCCGTCCCAGTCCCTGTTGAGCGAATCCTTCCCTGACCGAATCGAGGCTTCTTGTTGACACAGAATGCCCTGTAAGACAATATGGGCCCCAGAACGATACAGGAGCACGACCAGTGTAAATCACGGGCCCGGTTTTGTCCCTGCTTGAGAAATGACTCTCAGAACTCAGACCAACACGGAACCGACTGTTTGTTGTTGGTGATCTCTGGCCGAAATAAAGGAACGATCTGTATCAGGGGCCCCCACGAGATGATCAAGAGGTCACCAGAAAAGAAGAGATCATCTTATCGACCTTTGAGATCATGGCCCCATGGGTGGGGGTTCTTAATGTAGGGCTATAGCCAACCGTTCGGAACCTTCAGCCATCCCATCGGACCCTTGATCTTTGGTCTCTCGAGACCCTTCGGCCCCTCTTCGGACCCCCTCAAATACCGCTCCGATTCGGGGCCACTTGCCGCCATGGGAGGTGGGTCCTCAGGCCCATATCAACACGGGGTCTGCTATGTGGTACGTTGGTACCTGACCGACATGTAGACCCATATCAACTCGGGGGGGGGGGGGGTCCCCGATTGACGCAAAGGGCCCTCTGACCGTTATTCGAGGGCCATTCTTCGCAGGTCGGGCCCCCCGAATAAGACTCTAACCACCCCTTTATGCCCCCATACCCTCCAATCGGGCCCTTGCTCGTCGGATCCCAGATCGGGTCCCATTGACTCTTCGGGCCTTCTCGAACACTGCTTCCGACCGACTAAGGCCCCTTGACAACACAGGGCTCCTGGTAGGCCCTGTGGGGACCAGAGCAATATAAACCGCTGGCTCCGGCTTTGCCCCTGCTTGGGAAATGGGTCCTCAGGTCCATGCCGCCACGGAGCCGACTGTGCGTTACTGATGGTGTCTGAACAAAATATAGGCCCTTATCGACTC